CAGTCTCCCGCCGCCGCCACCGCCGCCGAACGCGGAGCGAAGGGGCCGCTCGAGCCAGTGCTTCCCGGCCGAGCGCGCCGAGACGCGGCGCGGGGGGACGTCGGCGGCCGGGACGCGGGGCGCATCGGTGTCCTTGGCGGGCGCCTGGATCGCAGGTGAGCGCTGGGGGACCCCGAAGCCGGGCCCAGCGGGACCCCAGGGAGGGGGCGACCCCCGCGGGGGGCCGTTCGCCCCCGTTCTCCCGGAGCGGGCGTGGAGAGGGGGGCTGCCCCGCCGTGCGCACCCGGGTGGGTGGTCGCGCCGGACCCCCACCTGCGCGCCGCGGCCCGAGTGCGGGGCTGGGGGCCCGGGGAGCTGGGAGTCAGGTTTGCTGCCGGCCCCCCGAGAAGTCACAGCACCCCGGGCTCGGGGCGGGTGGGGACTGTGCACGGGGGGCGGGATGGCCGGGGCCGCGCGTCCGCGGGCGAGTTTCCTTTTGACCCAGTTGCCCGAGAACTTTTCCCAAGTTCCTCGCGTGGCCGGAGCAGGTGACATGTGTCGCCTGTCTCCTTGGGCTCCCCCCGGGGGCCGGTGCCGGGGCTGCGGCCGGTGCCCGGGGAGCCTGCCGGCTGGCGGGGATCGGGGTGCCCAGGGCCAAGCGCGGAGCGGCGGCACCGTGAGTCACGGACCCGGGGACAGAGGGGGCTGTCCGCTCACCTGTTTGTCAGTCATCGTCACACGCATGAGTCACGGGCGCTCCGACCCGGCCACCCGCGGGCATACACACAGGCGCTCCCACGCACGTCTCTCCTCCCCAGCGCCCACTTCCTGTCGGTCCTCAGTTTCCCCTCCCTGGGGCTTTTTTTTTTTTTTTTCCTTTTCATTGGTACATGCCACTGTTGAGATGCCCAGACAGGCACATACTTTGTCACTCCTGCTTCCTGGCACTGTCAGACACACAGTCATAGCCCACACTCCTGACACAAGAGGGTCCCTCCGGGGCTCAGCTGTCCACCCTCCACCTCCAATCATGCCTCGGAGCTTAACTCATCACCTCCCCACACTCCCCCAGATCCTGGACATCCTGCCTTCTTCAGTCCCCATCTAGAGGCCACCAAGTTCACTCCCCTTTCTTCCGTGTGCTGGCCCTGTCACCTCTCACCTGGGCCTGGCTGCAGCTCAGTCTCACCAGTCACACCCCCTCCTTCCTCAGTGCTGAGCCATCTTTTAAAAATGCAAATCTCCGATTGTCACTCCTCCTGAAACCTCTCGGTGGCTTCCCGTGCCCTCGGGCTAAATCCTGAATCAGCCCCTTCTCTGATGACTCTTCCCTCCTCGGGTCCCCCCCGGAGATGCTGGTCCTGCTGTCTGGGGCTCCTCATTCTCCCTCGGTGGACTCTTCACCCTCAGCACACAGCCTCCCAGCCCCGTCCCAGAACCTGACTTGGCCTCTTAAGTCTGCACGCCTCGGCAATAAACGTAAAAGTTGCAGGAGTTGAGTATGCGTTGAAGTGCCTGGCCCAGTGCTTGGCACATCAGGGGAACGCCATAAATATTTGATTGACTGCATGAATGAATGAGAGGAAGCCAGGGAGGCCCCCGTGGTTGGAGGAAGCAGTCATTGTTAGGTGCAATTTCCCTTCTGCAGGAGAAGCCAGTGGCTCCTGGAGCCAGCCAGCGTTTGGCACTTACCCAGTGCCAGGCCCTGGAGGCCAAGGCTGCCGAGCTGTCCCCTCCCCCCGGGATCATTTTCCGAGGGTGGGGGAGGGGCATGCCAAGGCTTTCTGTCAACCCTCCCTGGGCAGCCCGGGCTGTTTTTCTGTCCAATCCCAGTGGGGCCAGAGATGCCCTGTCCTTCTCCTAGAAAGTGGTTCCTGAAGGTACTGTGACCCCCAGGTATGTGTGGAACTACCCCTGGACACGGAGGGGCTGTGAGGTTAAAGGACACATTCTTTAGATTCTTGGAAGAGGGTGAAAGCAGCTGAAGTCACCCCCTTCCCATCCCCTGGCTGGGGTGGTTCCTGGGGTGGAGGTGGGGAGGGGGGGACCTGGCCCAGCTTTTCAGGCAGACAGAAGAGTTGATGTGGCTTTTCAGAGGTCTGGAGTGGAGACCTGAACCCTGGGTTCCTTGGTGCCCTCCCTTGGGTGAGAGGCTCCTCTGGTTCCCGCTGCTTGGCCGGGCTGTGTAGGTTGTTGGATGGTGGGGTCACCCCCTTTGTCTTGGACTGTCAGCCTCTGTGTGTGTGTAGAGGGGACAGGCAGGAGATCCCGGAAGAAGCCTGACTCTCTTTGATTCGCGGCCTGGCTCTAGAGCTCCTTGGGGGTGTGGTGTTTTTGTCTGAATCAGCTCCTGGGAATGGTTTTCCTTTCTCCAGGACCCCAGGAGGGGGCTGGACTCACCCTGGGACTGATGCCATGGTCAGGATCCTGATTCCTGGGGAGCTGCGGAGCGCCCCTCCCCCAGCCTCTGACTCACTGTCTGACACTTTTCTTGGACACTTTTCACTATCTTTCATGCCTTTTCCTGAGTTAGCCTCCTCGGCTCTGCTTCAGGCTTTTCGTTCCATCGTGGCCTCTCTCTGCCTCTACGTTCCCAGGTGGGACAGAGGAGCCCAGGATCTAAGGGGCTTTTGTCATATCACTTACACAGAGAGAGAATTCTCATTTCGTTTGAGATCTGCAGATCCTGCTAGGGATTCACTGCTAGAACCTGCTAGAAGCTCCCTTGTGTCTCCTTGTCTGTGTGTGTGGAGCTTATAACCTCTTCGTCTTAAGTTCCCATTTTTTTTTTCCTTTAGACGTCTTGGAAGTACACAAACTTGAACCTGTTTCCTTGACTTCTCCGTCGTTTACTCCTGGGGGAACTGGCAGTCTCCTGAGATGCCAGCATTGGCACCTGCCTGCAGGCTGAGCTGAGCTTGCCTCTCCGCTTTTCTAGAGCTCGTTAAAAGCACCACTCGTGTGTAAAGCTTCTGGCACAAACGAGGCTGAGCCGATGGCCCCTTCCTTGAATTCATTGTAACCGCAGCAGGAGAACATCACATTGACCAGTTATTCCCAGAGAGCTTAAATTGTCTGTGTTGATAGGTGATCTGTGCTGCCAGCCCGCTGGCCTCCTTCCTCTGACATCCATGACTGCCTTGGTGCCAGACACTGGTCTTAGTTACTGGATCCAGGCGGGGCACATGGCAGGTCAGACAGATGCTGGCAGTTTGGTGTGAGGGAGGCAGGCCGGACGGAATTTGTACTGGAGCACACACAGTGTGATAGGGCCTTGTTGGGGGGAATCCCTGGACCTTGAGTGGGAAGGGGGCTGGAAGGAGGCTGCTGGTGCAGGTAGGCCTCTTGAAGATGACTCTCCTCTTGAAGATGACTCTGCAAGGTCAGGTAAACAAAGCAGAATGAAGCTGAGTTGCTTGTCTCGTGGTGACCGTGCAGGAGAGGGCTCCAGACCACACTACTGGAGTTTGAGCCCTACTACTTCAGTGTTCCCAAGGCTGTAATTTTATTTTATTTTTATTTTGTTGGTTTTTTTTTTAAGGCTGTTATTTTAATGGAAGCAGTGGACCTCATCTTCTGGAGTCTGGCCTTATGGTTGTCTGTTAAATGCTTGAGCCAGTGTTTCCTCAGAGCTCCTTGCAGACCTTGGAAGGGTTCAGTTGGGAGCGGGACAACGGATGAAACAATTTATGCAGAGGCCGGAGAGGTGAGGGGTAGCCGAGCTCCAGAACAGAATAGGAGAAGGACAGGGAAAAGGCTTTTAGGACGAGGGAGAGCCAGGCCCTTCAGCCTTTTACAGAGTTCTGGACTTGTCCTACGGACAGTAGGAAGTTGTGGGATAGGTGTGAGGACAGGGGCCAGCAGCAGAGGACATGGGTAGTAGTAGTATTGAACGCAGAAGCTTAAGAAGGGTAATGCACTTTTCAAATTGAAGGTGCTGTACATTAAGTGCATAAGCTATGCTAACCTTAGATACATACCCAGATCCATCTAGCGTGTTTACAACCCCTCATGACGCTCCCCAGGGATGCCCATCCACCCTGAGCACTCTTGACTGATCACCAGTTGATTAGACCTCCTCATGAACTTCATTCACATATGTTCCTATTCATGAACTTCATTCTCCTTTATTCCTATTCATCGCAAATATTCTGGTGTCTTTCACTCGGCATGGTATCTGTAGGACTCATTTGAACTATGTGAGTCTGGACGCATTTTTATTTGTACAGTATAGGGTCACATTAACATCCACTGAGCCCTTAGCTGTGGTCCTGAGAACCTGACCTATGTTGACTCACGTAAACCTCCCTGGAGGCCCATGAGACTTTTACGACTGTGAACTGGACACACAGAGAAGTTAAGTCACTTGTCCAGGAACACCCAGCTGATGAGAATCCGAGTCAGGGATCAAACTCCCAACAGTGTGGTCTGGAGCCAAGGTTCCTAATGCTAGACTGTGGTCTCTGATACTTCCTGAGCTGGGACAGGCCTGTGTGGATTGCATGAGGTCATCATGTGCACTGCACGGCCTGGAGGCTGAGTGTGGATGGAGGCAGAGGGAGGGAAGAGGTTGAAGATGACTGCAGGTTTCTGGCTTGAGTGACTGGGTGGGTGGCGATGCTGTTACTAAGATAGGGAACACAGGAAGAGGGACAGATGGCATGGGGGGTGGGGAACAGAGCCAGTGGGTTCGATCTGGGGCCTGTGGAATTTTCTGATTCTAGAGGGTAGCCAGGTGCAGTTACTGAGTTGACATTTGGATCTGGGGCTCCTGAAGGGGGGCACGGGGGTCTTGGACCTTCAGCCCCCTGCACATCATCTTGTGAACTTGGGAAAGGCTGAGGTCTTCCGCCAGGATGGGTGAGGGGGGCAGGCTGTCCAAGTGTGTTTATAGCGGGGCTGTGGTCTGTGTGCACCCCACTTGGGTCCCAGGTTCCCCATCTCCTGGGAGAGGCTGCAGGTCAGCTGGGAGCTGGGTTGTTTTTGTTTGTGGTTTGACCCTGGAGAGGGGGCGGTGGCCATGTCAAGACCGAGAAACAGCCCTCTGAGAAGCCCCCGGAAGCACCTGTGTCTTGTTCCCTTAAGGCCCGAGGTGGGGGTTGGCAAAGAAGTAGGGGAGCTTCTCCCTTGCTGGCCCAGGGGGAGGAGGGGAGAGGTGGCTGTTGGTTGACAGCACAGCTTCTGAGATCTGGGTTGGAGCCTTTGTGGGGGGCTGAGGAGGGGGAGACTAAGACAGCGTTCTGGTTGACTTTTCCTGTTCTCTGTCGTTTCCTGTGATGGCAGCGCCGCGGGGAGGGGCTCCCGGGCCAGGGGCCTCTGTTTGCTTGGTTTCCCCTTCTGGTGACCTCCCAGGACCCAGGCTTTGTGAGGCAGCCCGCAGGGTAGCTGTGTGCAGCCCAGGGCAGCGAGTCCCTGGGGAGTGTTCCAGTCTCAGCTCTCCCCCAAACAGTATAAGGGGCCCCACTGCCCTCCACTGGCATGAGGCAGCCAGGCTGGGGGTGTCTCGTAGTTGGTGAGACTCCCTCAAGCCTGAGACCCTCCAGGGTGCTGTAGTGTTGTGCTCTCAGGTTCCAAGTTTCCGAGCTACAGCCCAGGAAGAAAAGGGGGACGTTGTCTTGGATGTATTAGTCAAAAGGTATTTCTGTTTTAAGAACAGAAAAAGTATTTTTCCATAGGCGGTTATTTCCTACAAACAGGGCCAGGTATTGGGGAAGAAGACAAAACGTGTTTGAATTTTTACGAGCAAGCGGGGGACTCAAAGGAGATTGGGGCTGGAGTGACTCAGGGTCACTTAAGCAGCCTGGAGGCAGGGGACTTCTGTCCTGTGGGGTGGGGATTTCTGCAGGAAAGTCTGAGAACACCGTCCCAGCGGGCAGAGGCAGAGCTTGGGAAAGTCCTGGCTAGGAGGCACTCTGGGCTGCTCCAAAGGCAGCCTGCTTCCTGGGGAGGGGGCCTGGTCGGCGTGGCCTGGGCTGGCCTGGCACCTGGAGGTCTCTGCACACCGCGGGGTGCCTGTGGGTGTACCGGGGGGGAGGAAGAGGAGGAGAGGAAGGAGACACTGTGAGGCTCTGCAGACCGTAGGCAGGCAGATGAGGACACACGCACGCACGCGCGCGCACACCCCACATAGGCACACAGATGCAGGCAGGCATGAATCACTCAGCCGGTGAGTCAGCCCCCAGGATTCCTGTCGGGGAACAAGGGAGGCCAGGCGGAGGTCTGTCATCCCATCTGTCTGTCTGTCTGCCTCCTGCCCTTGCTGGCTGTGCCTGTGTGTGCGTGCACAGGTGGGTTGGAGGAGGGAGCAGGGAAGGTGTCTGGCGGGTTCCTGGACAGGTGGCAGTGGTCTGGAAATACCAGGACGTGGCTTTGGACTTGAATTTGGAGGGAGGGCAGTGTGGGACTTGGGCAAAGAAGTCTTCTGGAGGGACAGGGAGAATAAGGGGCATCTTGAAGGCTAACGGGTGAATGACCGGGTGGGAGCCCCCCAGGTGCCCTCAGCCCATTCTTGTTGCTGCTTGCCACTTAAGAGTGTTCTCATTGCCACCCCAGGCTGACTGTCCCCAGACCTTGGAGCACACCTGCGTCACCATGAAGAGGAAGTTTGAGCAGCTTGATGAGGACTCTTTCTCCTCCTCCTCCGGATGCCACTCTCGCTCCTGCTCCCCGAGTTTTTTAGCCTCACCTGCCTGGAACTTGGACGAGGAGGTCTCCTTGTCTCAGACACCCCTGCCTGATTTTACCCGTGAGTCTTCCTTCCGTGGGGGCCTGTCCTACCTGAGAAGCGGGAGTTACACCTTGATCATAGCACTGCTGCCTCTGGGGGCCCAGTCCCCAGAAAAGTGGTTCCCCTACTTGCTTCCACCTTCCATGCTCCCTAGAATACAGTCCCACACTCCTTGCCATCGGAGCCAACTCATAGCTGACTTTCCAGAGCCTGTAAAGTGCATGGGAGGAGATTGCCCATCTTTCCTCCATTGGAGCCGTTCGTGGATTCGAACCAGTGGCCTTGGAGTTGGCAGAGCTACTGTCTCTCTGCTAGACACCCCCCCACCCCCAGAGCTCCCTAAGTTCTGCTGTACTAAAATACCATTATCACTCAGAAAATGCCCAGTGTCCACAGCCATTGAGGCTCAGCTGATTCACTTTTGACCTTGGGACTGCCTGCTGAGAAGTGGGGACCTGCGGGCCAGAGGACCTTAGAGCGGCCCCAAAGGTCCCCCCAGCCTGGCTCCTCCTGTTCCAGTTTCATTTCTCCAGCCTGCTCCCTGCGTTCTTACAAATGGCGCTGCTGGGCTTCCACACCCTGCACTTGCTTACCTCGGCCTGTCCGGCCAGTTCCTCTCTGGTCAGAATGCCCTTCACCTTGGCCCGTGCCTGGTGAATAAGGGGGTTTGTTCTCAGTGCTGCTGATGCTTGCGCAATTCCAAGTTCAGTGCACCAGGATAGCCCTTGATCAGTGTTTCCCAACCTTTTGTTTCATTATCACCCCTTCCTGAGGCTCTTTAGACATCTTTCCTAAGTGCTAACCCTGTAAAGACTGAACAGTAAATAGATACCATGCTGCCTAGGTATAGAAATGCATAATTTAATGTGTAAAGAAAAAAAAATTGAGATTCCTTGACCACCCCCCCCCCAATGAATGCATGTCCTAACACAAACCAATATTAAAAAAACAAAACCAAAGCGCAACAACTGTAACTAATCTGGTTTAAGAATACTGATACAAAGGTCATACATAAATACACCTTTGGCTCATAGAATCTAATAACTCATTGACTAAACTCCTGTCAGTTTATTCTGGAAATGCCAGAATATTAGGAAATCCTGTTACATTGTTTGGGGAGCTCGGTGGCATCGTCCACAAGGAGTTTCACTGGCTGCTTGAAGGCACCCGTGGGGGCCAGATGACCTCTCCTCCTCCTGTGTGATTTATGGCCTTGGAAAACTCCCAGCGGAGGGTCAGCTCCTGAGCATGAGTTTTGAGTTCTGGCGCTTACCAAATGATTATCACAAGAGGCAGAAAGATTAGGGTCACTCTAAGGGCTGAATGAATATCTGATCGAGTTGTCCTTCAGATAAAAGCCTCAGAAAGATAGACTACAAGAATCCTGCAGTCTGCCCCAACCCTGAAGCTGCCGTTAGGATTAGTGGTAAGTCAGGGACAAGACCAGTCTCCCTGTCACCACTGCTAGTCAGCATTGTTCGCACGCTAACTCAGCAGAGACAATAAGAAGTACGTGTATTGGATTGAGGCAGGAGGGATAGATCAGGAGAGGAAGACCCTCGATGAGATGGATTGATTCAGTGACTGGGGTAATGGGGGAATGGTGAGATTGGCACAGAATAGGGCAGAGTTTAGGGCTGTTGTCCATAGGGTCACTATGAGTCGCAGGCGACTCCACGGCACATAACAATAACAACAAATAACCTTTATTTGCAAATGATTGCCTATCCAAATTCAAGAACATAAACAGAAACACTTTCATAGGAGAATTTGTTCGCGCAGCTGGGTACAAAATATAAAGAGCTTGGCACAGATCAATAATCATTTTTAAAACCCTGTGTTCAAAGGCCATTAAATGACTACTGTAGAGGTATCTTCTGACTGTTCTCATTTGGACTGGCACCTGGGTGTTCTGTTCAGTTTTACCAGCTCCCATTCCAGCCATGCTGAGCCCTCATCTCAGGTCCATTTCCTGGCGGGCAGGGGTGTGTGAAAAGAGGTTTTAAGAAGCCCTTCTAGAAAGATCTGCCGTGCCCCCCAGTGAGCTCATCCTTCACCCTTTCCCCGCTTGTCTTTCCAGCCCCGTCCATCTTGAAGCGGCTCCCCCGGGGATGCCGACGTCAGGTTTCCTTCGATGGCATCACTGTGTACTACTTCCCCCGGTGTCAGGGCTTCACCAGCGTGCCCAGCTATGGTGGCTGCACACTGGGCATGGCACCCCGCCACAGCACCTTCCGCAGCTTCTCCTTGGCCGAGTTCGCGCAGGAGCAGGCCCTGGTCCGGCGGGAGAAGCTCCGCCAGCGTCTGAAGGAGGAGAAGCTGGACGTGTTGAGAAGAAGGAAGGTGGGGATGCTGCTCCGTGGCCCGTCCTGAGGCAGCTCCTGGGGTCCTGGTGTTGTAGGGTGGGGGCCGTTGGACAGCTGTTGTTTGGGTTATGTGCACACAGAGGGGCAGCAGGTGAGGGTGAGGGTCCACGCCTGTTTGCTGTAGGACCTTTGACGTCAGGGGTCTGTGCCTACGTAGCTTGGGGCATGGGCTCTCCTTGCACCCGAGGTGGACGTGCAGTGATCTCTTTGCTCATGCTCTGGGGTCACTGCCCTTTTCACTCTCATGTCCACTGCACCCAGCAGAGAGCAAGCTCTCGGGGAAAGCTGGTTGACTGACAGCTGGCCGCATAGAGTGCGTGGCCCTGTCTGAGCTACTCACGCCTCCCTTCTCTCCAGTGGGTACAGCTTTCGGCGACCAGGACGTCCGAGGCCGAGGAAGACCTGCCACTCACGGTGGATGACATCGATGATGCGTCCGTGGAGGAGGACTTGGCAGTGGCCATAGCAGAGGGCCAGCTGGAAGAAGGGACCTTCCTGCAGCCCTTCCCTCCCCGGCGTCGGCGGGCCCTCCTGCGGGCCGCGGGCGTGAGGAAGATCGATCGGGAGGAGAAGCGGGAGCTGCTGGCCCTTCGCCAGTCCCGAGAGGACTGTGGCTGCCACTGTGACAAGGTCTGCGACCCCGAGACTTGCAGCTGCAGTCTGGCGGGCATCAAGTGCCAGGTAGGACGCCCCACCAGCTGGATGGGAGAGCTGGACGGGCAGCTTGACTCTGGGGACCATCTCTGGGCTCCGCAGGATCCTAACCCACATCTCTACCTTCTTCACAGATGGACCACACGTCCTTCCCCTGCGGCTGCTGCAGGGAAGGCTGTGAGAACCCCAACGGCCGGGTGGAGTTTAATCAGGCTCGAGTCCAGACCCACTTCATCCACACACTGACCCGCCTGCAGCTGGAGCAGGGCGCCGAGAGCCTGGTGGAACTGGAGGCCCCCGCTCAGGACGGTGCCCCCAGCTCTGGCGAGCAGGCCCTGGCCCCTCCCTTCCCACTGGCCAAGCCTTCCGTGAGCAGTGAGCTGAGTGACACCAGCTGCAGCAGCGACATGAGTGATTCTTCCACAGTGTCCTCCCCAGGGTCAGGCACCAGCGAGGCCCCCGGCAGCCCTGCACATTCCCCGCTGCCGGGCCCTGCTTCCCAACCGGACCTGGATGACGACAGCCTGGTACGGATCCTGAGTTTCAGTGACTCTGACCTCGGCAGGCAGGAGGAAGAGGAGGAAGAGGGTATGGGGCATCTCGACAACCTCAACTGCTTCCACCCGGCCGACATGTTTGGTACTGGTGACCTTGGTGGCCTGGCTGGCTGGACCCACAGCTATTCGGGCTCGAGCCTCTCCTTGGGCATCCTGGATGAAAACGCCAACCTGGATGCAGGCAGTGTCCTGAATGGCGGCTTGGATGGGACCAAAGAAGCAAGTCTGCCTGGCACCCCTGGGCTGGGCAGCGCAGAGACCGGCCAGAGCAGCTCGGGGGACCTGAGCTTGTCTTCCTGCGACTCCTTTGAGCTGTTCCAGGCCCTGCCCGATTACAGTCTGGGGCCCCTCTACACTTCCCGGAAGGCGCAGGACAACGTGGACACCTTCGAGGCACCCTGCTTCCCTCTGCCTGGCTTGTCCCCGCCCAGGGACACGGGCCTGAGCTTCCTGGAATCCTTCATGAGCTTTTCTGAGCCGGCGGAGGAGGCCCTCACCCCTCTTATCGACAGCCAGTTGTTTGAGGACGCAGCCCCCGCACCCCTGGTGGAGCCGGTGCCCGTGTGAGGACAGACAGAGCCCAGCTGCTGCTTTTTTTGTACTGTGGGGGTTCCCTGGGGGCCTGCGTGGAACGGTCTCCGGGGCCTCCTGGATATATTTATTTATTTTTTACGGCTGTGCTGAGCGAGTAGGGGGTGAGGGAGCTCCCCGCTCCGTCACCCACCTGCACATCCCTCTTCTGGTCTCCGCGGTGCGCACCAGGAAGAGAAGATCTGGCTCCGCTGGAGTTTTGCGGACCGATTTTTGCCTTTGAAGGATGTTTCTGCACCTAGAGACAGACTGGGGTCTAGAATTGGCCCCTTTTGGCTTCCTGCTGCTGCCCTGAGCCCCACGGGTGGCCCAGTCCTCTGGACTGTGAAGACTCTAATTTATTTCTGTAATTTATTTGGAGGTGGAGGTGTGCTGGGCTCTCCTGGATGCGGGACTGTCGGGGGGGGGGGGTCTGTGTGAGGCACAGACACAGAGCCTGTGAGTCCTGTTGCATGTAGACCAGCAGCCTGAGCTCTGCCCTGCCCTTCCTGGGCTCCAGTATAGACCAGGTGTGGACTTGAGCCAGATGTTCAACTCTTTTGGCTGCAGGGACAGCTTGGATCAAGCGAGGTGCTGGGCTGGGCTGACAATCGTGACCAAAACCCTCCTTTGCCCTCTCCAGCCCCCCTTGTTCTAATCCTCTGTCCCACTCCTTTTCCCACTGATACTGGAAGGGGAGGCGGGAGGCCCAGAGGGGGCATGAGGCCTGCCTCAGGACACACAGCATGCCCCTGATTGTTATCTCAGGGCTCTCTGGATACCACACTCCAGCCTGGGCCATTTGCCCATGCCCTGAGGCCAGTTGGCCAGGGTGTGAGGGGTAGTGGCCCCTTAAGGCTGTTCTGGGCCCTTCCTTTGCCCATGTTGAATTTTGTATCATAATTTCTATATTGTCCCTAAGTGTTAGAATTATAATTTATTCATTTTTCTCTGTGTCTGTGCCAAGAAGTCCAGACCCTGGGCTCTGTCACCTCCTGCTTTGTCCCACCTCCTCCCCATTCCCTTGCCCAAGAGGCCTCATTTGGATGTGCGTTGGTGGGAATACCTTGTACCTAAACTTGCAGGTACCAGTAAAGAGGCTCTATTTTTAACAGTGTGGTCTGTTTGTGGAATGGGGAGTACGGGTACCCCTTCTGGTGGGAGGGGCCTGAGCTGGCTTAGCGGGGGGGAACACACACACTGGGCCTCCTTCCATCCGTCATCTTGGAGGCAGGAGGCCAGCTGAGAGGCTGGCCAGGCAGATGGAGCTGTTTTCTCTTTGGAGGGAAGAGCATGCAAGCTCTCCTCTAACGTTAACTCATTCTTCTCCAGTGGTGGCAGCAGGACAGTCTCCTGGGGTGGCCACGCCTGCTGGGGCCTGGCCCCGAGGGTGAAGTGACCCACCCAGGGCTGGGCCAGGGCAGGCAGTGGGCTGTGGCCAGTAGAGGCTTGGCTCTGGGCTTAGCACGCGTGCTCCCTGAGGACAGAGCACCGGAAGCTGCAGAACCACATCCATCTGTACCAGCTAGACCTGTCTCACCTGTCCCCAGCAGGTAACCTGGCTGAAGGCCAGCCGAAGCAGGCAAACCCTGCTCTGGGGAGCCCCAAGTGTGGGGGCCTCAGGATGAAAGCTGACCTCCCTTGGAGGCAATAATTTATGCAAGTGCCTGCGAGGGGGCCAAAGACTGAGGAAGAGAATCCACTGGGGCCCCTTTTTATTCTAAGAAGACCTGGTGGTGCTTGTAATGTGCCAAGCTGTTAGCCAAAAGGTCACCAGTTCGAATCCACTAGCTGCTCCGTGGGAGAAAGACTGATTGTTTCTTGTAAAGAATTACAGCATTGGGCTCAAGCCAGTCTTAACAGCAGAGGATTTCTTACTCTTAATTCTGTTGGGCTCCGCTTATTTCTGTGTGGAAGATGGCCTGGGAGCTTGGAAGTAAGGTGCTGGGTTCAGATCATTACCTGAGTGAGATGACTTAGCAAGTCACAGTTCCTGCGCCTCTGTGCTGGGCAGGTAAAGCCGGTTCCCTCAAACTTGTTCATAGGCACACAGTGCTGAGAAGGTTACCTGGGATGTGCAGGCCCTGGATGTATGTGTGGCTTTCTCCTCCTGCCTTTTGTGTCTCTGCTTCCCTTTATATCTTCCTTGAATTGTGCCGTCAAGCTGGAGGAGATTGCCCTTCTTTGTCCTGTGGAGCGGTTGGTGGATTCAAACTGCGTCCCTTTGGGTTGGTAACGCAACTCCTTACCCATGATGCCACCAGAGCTCCCTCTTCAATAGGTTGCTCTCCCTTCTCTTAGCTTTCAGTATGCGTCTCCTGCCTTTGGACATGGCTACAGCCTACAAGCTGAGTGGTTATTATAAGACTGGTGGCTGGAGGCTGGCCAGTGGTGGGGTAGCATATTCCTATAACTACACGGTCAAGGCCAGAGAGGGTTTTGGCTTCTCAGGGGTGGGGAACCCTGACACAGTCAGGTGTCCTGTCTGCTCCCTTGGTGATCTCTTAGGAGACATGTCTTCAGCGTGTGTGGTCCAAAACTTAGATCTCACTGAGGTCCCTTGTTGCAGACCGAGGGTCCCAAAGAATGAAATAATTTTATAATTATTAATAATGAGACAGACTACCAGGAATGATATAGGACAGAGAGTGTGAAAAACAGGGGGCCAACAGTTCCCATGACTGAAGGCCCCAAGCCATGCTTCTCTGAGTATTTAGAATCATAAGTAAGGTAAACAAAGTAAAATCATAACAAAAACAAAGGATAATGGTAAAGTCTTTTACAGATAAGGCCAAGTTCCTCTTTATGCTAATCTCAGGAGTGAGGGATTCAGTTGATACAAACTAAGAACAATGTTGACTCTTAGGGAACACCTTAGTGCCACAACGTGGCCTTCAGCTTGCATTAAACCTCCCTCATTTCCTGACATAGTATTTGGTCTACTATGAGTAAATTTGATATTCGGCTTCCCTCAGACCCTGGACAGGGTCTAGACGGCAGCCCCAGCAGCTCGAGGGCCGCAGCTTGGATCCCTCATGCTTTTCTCAGGGATGCACCCCATGGCTGGACTACTGACTGCCTTCTCCCCTTGGGCAGCCCAGTTGCACACGGCCTGGCTTCCTTGCCCTTTCCCCTCCTTTTCTAGAAAAGAGGAGGGTTTTGAGTTTCGCAACAACAAACATCAAGGGTTAATGCACAGCCCCTTTACAATGGCACCGTCCCTACAAGGATCCTTATCTGCGGCCCAGGTTTAACAAGGACAGAGCTGCCCCAATAAACTGCGTGTCCGGCGGATCGCACAGGGAGGAGGACCGGGTTTTCCCATAGGAAGGATGGTAGGAACTGCGGGAACGTTCCAGATCCCTGACTCATACCGAGAAGCAGTGCACGTGACCAGCAGTATGCTATAAAAACAAGGAGCAGCTATCAAGGACAGCTCAGTTCTAAAAGGGGCCATTATTCATTCATCCTCTGTTAGCAAACCTTAGGCGCAGGACGATTTCTCTTGGAAAAGTGACCATATCTGCATGGTAGCCACACTCAGCGTTTGTCCTTAAGTTGATGCTGTCAGTGAGCTTAAAAGTTAGACCCATCCTGGGCGACAGTAGCCTCAAAGTCACGTGCTAGTTCTTTCTCTAACTTCTCTATTTGTGTATACAGAGGGAGCTCTGATGGCCTAGTGGCAAGAAGGTGCTCTGCAGTCCCACAGGCACCAGGTTTGAATCCAACAGCTGCTCTGATGCATGAAGATGGGCAATCTTTTGCCGTGTGATTAGATGCCTCTAAAAACCCGCTGGAGGGTCAGTCTGGACTCAACAGTACATAACAACACAGGTGTATAGGGAGCTTAGTGGTAAGGAGTTGTGCTGCCAACCCAAAGGCACACAGTTCAAATCCACTAGCTGCTCCGTGGGAGAAAGATGGGCGATCTCCTCCCATGTGATTTACTGCCTCTAAAAACTCACTGGAGGGTCAGCTATGAATCCGTCCTGACTTGATACATAACAGCAGCTGTGTTAAGAAATGATATCTGAATGCCAGTACTGTATGTTTGCTGTCACCAGCAAGGATTTGTGCCGACTGAGAGGCAACACATCTAGTCTAATGTCCTTACACAGACATTGGGGCGCTGGGACCCTGAGAGGACCAGGTCCACTGGGAGAGTCAGGCCTCAGAATCCGAGATCAGACAGTCTTCCCTGAGGTCAGGCTGGCCCCATTAGAGCTGTCCTGAAAACAGGAAGAGAGGTGTAGGAAGCCTGGCGGAAGTGACCTCTGTCACCCCTCTGCCAGCTACAATTAGCATCATCCATCTAGAGAGGGACCCTTGTGTTTGCTCTGGTAGGTGTTCAAAGAGGTTTCTGGGGGCCAGATTCACTGGCCCGTGTCTTTCACAAAAGCCGAGCTGGGGATTACTGTTTCTGGGAATGTTTTCTTTGCACTCCTGTGTAATCAGGTTCGCCCTGACTGGTCAGGGCCAACCGCAGCCAGCTGAAGACAGGAGGGAGGAGACCACGCACAGAGGGCCGGCAGTGGCCCCGGCCGCCTGCAGGGTGGTGGACACACTCACAGTTATGCCGCCTCCCGCAGCCAGCCTTCCATGCCTGGGCCCACTGCCCACAGCATCCTGGGCCCTCTGCCAGGGAGGACAGCCTGGTGGGGAGGGGCAGTGCTTCTTTAGCTCCAGGATGCTGGGACCAGACAGGAGAGGAGAGGCATTTATGTGCTGATGTAACATTTTAAAATAGCTGTAGTTTTCTTGGTATGTGTGTGTTTCTCTGTGCTGTAAGCCCCCTGGGAGACACCCCCCTTTCTTTTCATTCACAGAGTCTGTCATAAAGAGGTGAAATTTGAATGTCCTCAGTGAGCCCAGCAGAAGCAAAGCCGGCTGATATCTTTCTTCTACGGAACAAAATGACCTCTTGTGCCGTTAATGCACAAAGCCCTGGGGTGTCCCTATCTCCAAAAAAAGGCATGATTTAAAACAAACCACAGCAACACAGATATGGGGAAGTATATGTATATGTTATTTTCTGAATGCCTTCTCCAAGCCCCCACCTCCCAGGCCCCCCCATGACACTTCTCTGGGCTGATGACCTCCATCCTGGTTTCTATTACCGACCCCTCCACACCCCGTGCTGAGGCTGGTGGACCCCTTGACTGACCACAGCTACGGTCTCAAGGATCCTTGGGCCTTTTCCAAAATTTCCTCTCTGATCTTAGGGTAGTTGGGGTGCTCCCTGAGAACCTGAGGTAAAGAAAAAAAGGTGCCTGTTGCATCAGGCAGGGCCGTGGAGCACGATGCCTCCCAGCCTTCCACCCAATGTCCGTGGCTTACGCTGTGGCAGATTTCAATGGCCTCCACAAATTTCTTGGCCTTCAGGTAGTTGAACGCAAGCTTGAACCCTGTCCAGAGGTGAGAACAGAAACGGTGAGTCTTTGGTGACTCGAGAGCACCTCTGTTTCCCAGGACAGTGGGAGGACGGGCCCTGAGTTCTGGGCTGCAAAGTCTCGATACCCACCTCCCTCCCATAGCCGTCCACGCTCACCCCGGCTACTGTCTTACCCACAGAGGGGCTGGCCTGGTAACTGTACTTCCAGGCCAGCTCGTAGTTGGTGGCTGCGTCCTTGTAGGACTGCTCCTTCTCCATGATGAAGCCCAGATACTCATAGGCTTTGCTGCAAGACTACAGAGAAATCGAGGCAGAGCACGCGTGGGGTCGGGACAGGGCCGGGCACGGTCAGCCGGGAGCTGCCCTGGGTCTAACCACTTGGGCTCTAGATGTCCAGCTCCCACCTTTGCAAGAAGTGGGGCTCCCGGATGGGCTGTTACATCCCCCCCAAACCTGGGCACCCTCCTCCCACCAGCTCCACATGGACCTGATCCCTCGCCATGTATTCCTCCTCTTCACTGATCAACTCCTTGACCTCCTGAAGCCCCTCCACATAGGAATGTGTCCCGTCTCTCCTTGCACAGTCCGTGTTCCCCCACCACTGTGCCTTGGCTACTAGCTCTGTGCCCGTCCCTCCTCCTGTCTGATACCCTGCTCATATCTCCTCGTTTTGCTTCCGAGGCCCACCTGCCCCCCAACCCCATCTCCTCGCTGCGCCCTGGGCGAGGGGGGGGGCTTGCCTTGTTGTATTGCAGACAGCGCCGCAGCAGCTCTGTGGCGAGGTCGAACTTGCCGCCCTGGCAGTAGATGTCGGCCAGCAGGAGCCAGCTCTTCTCCAGGTCCTCGGCCTCGGCCAGCACCCAGGGTGCCTTGGCTTGGCGCTTGAGCTGTGTTCGAGCCTTGGGGATCTGCCTCAGCAGCAGGTAGGCCTGCGCCACGGCCAGAAGGGCGGCCACGTTGTTCTTCTGTGCACCAAGAGGGAGGCAGGTGTCAGGGCCCTTGACTCCTGCCCTGCAGCTTCCTGTCTAATCCCCTGTCCATCCCCCTGCCCTGCCCCACGCCCAGCAGCTCCCCTGCCCTGCAGCCCCCTGCCCTGTCCTGTACCTGTCCAGCAGTGCCCTGCCCTGTAGCCCCTTGTCCAGTCAGCCCCCTGCCCTGTCCAGCAGTGCCCTGCCCTGTAGCCCCTTGTCCAGTCAGCCCCCTGCCCTGTCCTGTACCTATCCAGAAACACCCTGTCCAGTCAGCTCCCTGCTCTACCTCCTACCCTGCAGCCCCCTGTCCAGCAGCCCCCTGCCCTGCCTGATAGCCCCCATCCTGCCCCTACCCTGCACCTCTCTGTCCAGCAGCCCCCAGCCCCACAGCCCCCGTCCAGCAGCTCCCTGCCCTGCCTTATAGCCCCCATCCCACCCCTACCCTGCAGCTCCCCTGTCCAGTCCTCTGCCCTGCATCCCTCCTATCTAGCTCCCCGTTCTGCCCCTTGCCCTGCAGTCCCCTGTCCAGCCTGCCAGGCATCGCACCTCGGCCTGGGCCATCTCAATGAAGCTGCCCAGGGCCGCCTCCACGTTCGCCTTCTCCCGCGTGGCCATCAGGCAGAGGCTCTGCAGGAGTCGCAGCTGGGTCTGGCCCGAGGCCGAGTGTGGGCAGAAGTCACGCAGCAGCTTCTCCGCCGTCCGCACGCCATGCTGTTCCGAGTCCTTCTTTTCTGTGGAGCTGTGGGAGCCGGCGCCAATTGGGGGATCCATCTGCCCTGTCTGTTCCCTGGCCCCTCCCGAACTCCAGCCCCCCATGGACTAGCTGAACCCTTACTTGCTCTCGGGCACCAAGTTCTCAAAAGCCTCTCCACCCATGATCTCATTGTCTGGGTTCAGACAAATCTGCACCATGTAGTAGGTGGCTCTCTGGCCCCAAGTGCTGTCCTTGCGAGCCTTGTTCAGGAATTTCAGGGCCTCGTTGGGTTGCCCTGTGTGCCTGGCATGGAGGAGAAACACACAAAGAACACAATCAGGAAGGGAAGCTGAGGCCTGGCGGGCTGAGAGGCCATCCAGGGGCCACTCTGTGAGCTGGTCAAGAGCAGGAGCTGAATCAACAGGCTGTCGACCTCCTATCTGGGAAATAGATTTTCTGGACCCCCCAGCACTGTATTCTGGTGGCTTAGTGGTAAGAAGCTACGCTGCTATCCCAAAGGCACACTGTTCAGATCCACTGTTCTTCTCTGCAGAAGGAGGACGGGCAGTCTCCTCCCATGAAATTTACAGCCTCTGAAAACCTGCTGGAGGGTCAGCGATGGGTCAGTTACTACTTGACAGCACACAACAACAATGACAAGACTGGATTAAATGATGTCCGTTTAAAGACTAAGGCGCATATGATCCAAGAATTACTTGCTATGCATCTGAATGAATAGTGGCTCGTGACTAAAGATCGCAGAAGAATTGATGCCTTTGAGCTGTGGTGTTGGAGAAGGGTAGTGGACATCATGGACTGCCAAAGAATAAACATACGGGGGAGCTCTGGTGGCCTAGTGGCAAGAAGCTGCACTGCAATCCCAGAGATATGTGGTTCGAATCCACCAGATGCTCTGCTGGAGAAGGAGGGACAATCTCCTCCTGTACCAGTCAGATCTGATTTGACGGTGCACTCACACACACACATAAAATAAAAATTTAAAAATAAAAAGAATAAACATACGTCTTAGAGAAAGTGTAACCAGCATGGCCGTTAGAGGGAAGGATGGTGAAACTTGGTCTCACGTGCTCTGGACATGTTAGGAGGGGCCAGTCCTTGGATCATGCATGGGAAAAGAGGAGGGTCAGCGAAAGAGAGGAAGACCCTCAACAAGATGGGCAGGCACAGTGACTGTACAATGGACTCAAGCATGTTGGAGATTGTGAGGATGGCAGAGCACGGGAAGGCTCTGATCTGTTGTTCAAAGGGTTGCTATGAGTCGTTGTGGCGCAGAACAACAGCGATAACAGGCATTGAAGAAGGAGGAGTCCTCTTGGCTCAGAGGGTAAACATGTGACATAGAAACAAGAGGTTAGCGGTTCAAATCTACCAGCCGCTCCAGGAGAGAAGGATGAGTCACTTGGCTTCCATAAAGATTACAGTTGTGGAAGCCCCAGCGCGGCTGTTCCACGCTATCTTGAGTCAGAACTGACTAGACATCAGTGGGTTTTGTTTTGATGCTGGGGGGAACCTGCACACAGCCTCGCCTCCACTCACCAGAAGTAGATGCCTCTGCAGTAGTTGAACCCCGGCTCCAAAGGCACACGGCTGGACACATTCTTGGCCAGTTCAAAGAAAGCGGGGGCCTCTTCGAGTTTTCCGCTTCTTCGTAGCAGATCGATTAGTTTACTCAGAACCGGAAAATTATCTAAAATGATGAGAGAACAGAAAGCCACGGGCCACAATGGCTAATAGTTCCACATCAGTTAGAAGGTGCTGTCACCTGCCAGGAAGAAGCATGGGGTGCTGGGCCGGGGGGAGCCAGGAGACCCTGCCCACCTGGGCTGAACAAGGACCTTGCAGGGCTGATGCTGAGATAATAAGTAACATTCCACTTAACAAATTGCAAAAATCATCACAACTATAGCATTTATTAGGGAAGCTTTATAACGTTTATCTGGTGGCCTAGTGGTAAGACACTGTGACGCAATTCTGAAGGCGCACAGTTCAAATCCATCTGCTGCTTTGAGAGAGAAGGATGGGCAATCTCTGAGAACTCATTGGAGGGCCAGCTATGGTGGGTTCTGATTTGACGGCACACAACAACAACAACAACAAGAGCATGTATTAGGAAGCTCTGGTGGTGTAACCCGTATAGAACTGCACTGCTAAGCCAAAGCCCAAGAGCCTCTCTGGCTGTTCAAATCCACCAGCGGCTCCCACAGATGGACACTCTCCTCCCGTGTGATGTACAGTCTAGGAAATCCTCCTGGGAAGTCAGAGCGAGGAGCAGCTTGCGTTTGCTATCCTACAACGAGGTAGTACTCTTACTGCCCCCATTATCCAAGCAAGGAAATTATGGCTGAGAGACATTAACGAAATAATCTGCCAGCGGTTACTAAGTGTCAGACCAGGATCCAGACCCAGGAACCTGATTGTTGGGTCCACAGTCCTGACCACTTGGATCTGCTAGAATCATGGGGAGACTTCGGCTCTGTCCCTTCCCCAGAGGAAGGAGAAGTTTCATGCTGCTCAAAGTGAGAATGAAACTAATACTAACAAGAGGATCCTAACACCTCCTGCCTCCTCCAGCAGCGATAACTTTGTGTCTGCACTGTATGAGCCCTAGAGACTGGGATTTGGGGGACACATGGGCCTTCCTGAGTCTAGGACTAAATACTACCTTGCCTGGAGAAGGGTGGACATGCCCCACTGTGGCTTTCTTAGCTTCCTGCCTCCATGGAAACCACAGAGAGGAAGGGGCTCCCTTAGCCCCATGGATGGAGGCCCGGGGCCCAGGCTTCTGGAGAAGCAGCTGGTGCTTAGGGAGGGCTGGTGCAAGCAGGCTCCGAACGGGCCCACTTACCTGGTGCTTTCTCCAGGACCTGGCGGTAGAGATTGATGGCGGCTTCGTAATTCTGCTTTCTGAACATCAGGTCAGCCATCATCTATCAGAAAACATACAGAGCTCCAGAATTTCTGGGGGTGGGCAGATGTAGCGCAGGGGGAGGAAGGAGGAAGGAGAGACCTGCGGGGGTGTGGGGGGTGTGGGGGATAGGGTTTGCCTGGCAGAGGCCTGGAGGTGCAGCCAGAGGAAAAAGCAGGGATGCCTCCTCAGAAAGTGGGGGCTTGGGGGTAAGGAGTTGAAGATGGGAGTGGGGAGCAGGGCCAGTGGGGCCTCCGTCCAGCAGCCTCCTGCCCCCCATGTCTGAGCACTGATGACTTCTGGCAATGGAGGCAGAGATGGGGCTCCCCACTCCGCTCTGCAGGGGCCCAGCCTCCATTCCTGGGGCCAGCCCGAGGAGAGCGGATAGAAGGACAGAGCAGAACTGGGTTTTCTTCACACACTTCCTGAAGCCTGGAACTTGTCCCATCCTGGCTTTCACAGAGGGTGGGTGTGGTTTCCCCTCTGGGTGAGTCACCTTCACCCCCTCCCCTCAGAAGGCTCAGAGGTTGTTGCTGCCCCCTGCCGGCCTGTCCACCCCTCCCAGCTGAAAGGTGGTGGTTCAGCCCTGTGTCCTCTGATTAGCAGGTGAGCCAGGTCTCAGGATTAAAGGGACCCTGGGGAGGGGAGATGGGGCTGGGGCTGGGGGGGGGTCTCCTACCACAGAGGCAGCCTCCTGGTTCTGCTCCGTCTGCAGGAGGCCAGTGCAGTGCTGTTCACACAGATCCAGATGCCCCTGCAGCAGGTAAACCCGCGCCAGGTCCAGCATCACCTGGGACGAGGCAGACACAGCATGCTGACCACGAGCATCGCGGGAAGCCTCGGGATCCTGCTGGACGCCTCTTCCCCCTTCACGCCCCATTTCTATTGACTCTACCTTCTCTGGTGGCCCTAATGGGTAAGGAGTGGCATTGCCAACCCAAAGGTAGGTAGTTCGAATCCAACAGCTGCTCAGAGGGAGAGAGATGGACAATCTCCTCCCACACAACTTACTGTCCATTGGACGTTCAGCTATGAGTTTGTTCCAACTCGATGGCAATATCCAACAACAACAACAGCAACAACAACTGCCATCAAAACTAGTGCCTGCTGGTACAGCCACTATGGAAGGCCATCTGACACTTTCTCAAAAAGTTGAAAATAGCACTGCAATCCCAGAGGTATGTGGTTCAAATCCACCAGGTGCTCTGCTGGAGAAGGAGAGGCAGTCTCCTCCTGTACCAGTCAGATCCGATTTGACGGTACACACACACAAAATAATAAAATAAATTTTTCTGGAAAAAAGTTGGAAATAGACATACCTTTTGATCCAGCAATTCCACTACTGGGAATATAATATACCCTAAAAAATGAGAGCCACAACCCAAACAGATGTATGCATACCCATGTTTATTGCTGTGTTATTCACAATAGCAAAGAGATGGAAACAGCCTAAGTGCCCATCAGCAAATGAATGGATAGGAAAACTATGGTACATCCACACAGTGGAATATTACACAGCATTGAAAAAACAATAAACTTGTAAAACACTGCACAAGATGGGGGATCCCACAGGACATTATGCTGGGTGAAATATCTCAGCCTCCCAAGGGCAAATACTGCATAATCCTGCTGTTATAAAATAGGACAGACATGGGGGCAGGTGGGGAGAGAATGGGTAAAAAAAGTGGATAGTTAATGAACACTGCAGTAGAACAGATGAGGGGAAGCACTGTCCGAAAGGAATATATGATTAGTCATTTGATGTATGGCAATAATCTGGAATAAGGGGTGCATTGCGGGGAGGGCTGGGGAGAGGGGAGAAAGAAAGCATGAAACAATGGGGGGGAAAATTAAAATAAAACATTTTTGAAGTTTGAAAAAAAAATTCTTGGGGGGGATTGTATACCAATGAAAGAATTTTTCTTTTACTTTCCAAAGAGAAGAGCAAACTGGGGGTGGGGGCTGGGTGGACAGGGAGAAAAGTACAATAATGAATGAATGGAAATCCAAAATCTCTGTAAATGTTCATTAAAATTAATAAAAAATAAATTCCTGAATTCCTAACCCTCCCGTTTCCTTCAATAGCCCAGCTAGACCAGAGTCTCTATTAAGTGACCTCCAAGAGCCAAGGCCAACTAGCTCACACTCACTGTCCAGCTTCAGCTCCAGACGGGGGTCTCTGTGGCGCACACTGGGGGCAGGACCCCTTCCCCAGAGCCCTGCTCAGCCTGTGCCCTGTATTCTGTGTCCGTGTGTGGTGCATAGGGCGTGGTGTTCAGAACAGCCCGATTCCCCCTAGTCTGAGGGCAGAGCCTAGGCAGGGCCAAGGTCTCACCCTGTTGTGTCTCTGAAGCCCAGTGCAGGACTTGGCAGATGGCAGAAGTCAGCCGGGAGAATGAATGACGAAGTAAACAAACAGGTTGTTCACCAAGCACTTCACCTGCTCTCTCAGCCTGAATGCCAGCATTATCCTCACACGTGGAGGCACACCGCCCTCTCCTCTCCGCCCTGCCCCTCCCGCCAGCTGAGCCGGGATTTAATGCCAGAGCAGTCCCTTGCCACCTCCCCCGCTCTTTTAAGGACTCAGAGAAAGTCAGACAAATATGACCCTACAACGTGGGACTCCCCAGCCTGACACCACAGGGGTCAGGTGGAAGAGGTTCACCACTGAGGGGGCTGGTCTCCCATCGGCCTTCTTCCTGCACCTCGTCAGAGAGGCAGGGAGAAGACAGCAGGGCCCGACCGCAGTTAGGAAGCTCAGCAAGGTATCGCCAGAGAGAGGGCTCACCCACCTTAGTGTCGGTGGGAGTGTAGGAGAGGGCATCCTGATAGGCCAGCCCGGCCTTGGTGTAGTTCTTCTCCGCGAGGCTGTACTCGCCTAACTGGGTGCAGATGGAGGCGGCCAGTTGCTTCTGGGCGGGAATAATTTCTGGTTGCTCCAGGGGAGTCCTCTTCAGAACCCGAGACTGAAGGTCGAGAGCCTTGAGACACCAATAAGCTGAGGATCAGGAGCCGGAGGCTGACCTACCAGACTGCAGGCTGACCCACAGGAAGTGTCCACTCTGCCTTCAGAGAGCCAGCAGTGTCGGAAAAGCCACCTCCGGTGCCCTGGGCAGATCTGGGTCACTCTGAACTGGCAAGGCCACTGCTCAGTGCACAGGCAGGCATGCCGGCATGGTCGTGGGGGCAGCCAGAGATGTAAAGGCATCAAACAAAACGCTCTATTGTGCTGTACCTGTTTGCCAGGTGGCATCACACCTGGAGGCGCAGTGCTGTGTTTGCTTCGGCTGCCCTGCCTACCAGAACAGGCATGTAGTAGGTGCTCAGTGAAGGTGTGTTTGGTGGATGCATTTTTAAAAAAAATTTTTTTTATGTGCGTACCATCAAATTGGATCTGACTGGTACAGGAGGCGACTGTTCCTCCTTCTTCAGCAGAGCATCTGGTGGATTTGAACCACACACCTCTGGGATTGCAGTGCAGTTTCCTGCCACTAGGCCACCAGAGCTCGCCAGGTGGATGCATTTGTTTGGAATATGTTGCCCTGCTGGGAATCTGAGGCTGCCTCACAACTATCTTTGACCCCAAATGACCAAGTGTATTAGTGGTCCAGAGGAAATGACAAGAAGGGATAGTTACAAGGAGTGGATACAAAAGCTGAATGGGAATTCTGCACAATCATGACAAAAGACGAGGGGACAGGTCATTTTAAGCAGTCAGAGGTCCTCTGAGCTTGCTGGAGGACTGAGGGAGGACACCATCATTGCCAGGACTAAGGGACTTTGTAACACTGACCTAAGCTTTGAGGTTGAAGGCCAAAGTGCTTCTGACCACGCTTGAGAAGCTGTCTGGACTGAGGGATTATAATTCTACTGCTAACTTGAATTATCTATCAAGGGGCCTTCCCTTGATAACCTTGAACATGCCCAGAACAAGGCCCAGGCCACATTTTTGGAAGGTAAAAGTGAGGAGGGTTGTGCCAGAGGTCCAGGGCCTCTCCGGTCAGAGGTATCCATCTAGTGTGGAGAAGGCATAGCTGGGGCACAGCTGACCTGGTTCAAATCCTAGTTCTACTGACTTTGTGCGTGTTTCATAAACTCTCTGAGCTGAACAGTTTTCTGCTATAAATGAGAGTTCCAGAGTACGTACCTTAGAATATCATCGTGAGAATTAAACAGGAAAGCCAAAGTCCCTAGGACGGGGTCTGGTGTACGGCAGTCCACTTACTCTGATGGCTGTTAGTGTCACTGCTATCAGCCTTTGAGTGACTTGCTGGTATAGTCTGTGGTGTCAAGGGTTTTTATTGTTCAAAAAGCGTTCCTAGCCATTGACCCTGACTTTGCTACACTGATGAGTGGGATGCTACCAATAGGGCATACAAGTCTCTCCATCTCACTAGGTTTAAATGAAGTGGTTTCAGCAGCAGAAATTATAAATCACAACCAAAAAGAAAGAGGAAGTAGTAAGTGGTGTGTCTTTTGGGGCCAGAAGTTCCTTCTTCTGCTGGACTAAGAGTGACACAAGAGCAGAAGCAGCCTCAGAGAGTGACATGAGACACAGCTGACCTGGGACTGCTGCCTCTTGGAGCCTGAGCCAGAGGCCGTCACCCGAGCTTGCTGGAGGACTGAGGAAGGACACCATAACTGGCAGGAGTAAGGACTTTGTAACACTGCCCTAAGCTGTAAGGTTGAAGGCCAAAGTATTTGTGACCACGCTTGAGAAGCTGTCTGGACTGAGGGATTATGTACTGCTGCTAACCTGAATTATATAGCCTGTTAACTTCTCTAATGAACCTTATAACTGTGAAGTCTGTATAGTCATCGCAATGGATTTTGGACCCAGTAGAGCAGTGAGCTTTGGTGCTGCAATTAGTAGCAGAAAGTGCAGAGGCACGGGAGACCCTATCTGACCGTACACTGTTGTTGTGTACCCTTGAGCTGCAACTGACCCATAGCTGAGCCTCCAGCAGGTTTTCAGAGGTGGTAAATCACATGGGAAGAGACTGTTCATTTCTTTCCCCTCTGAGCAGCTGGTGGATTTGAGCTGCGTACCTTTGCTCTGGTAGAGCGATTTCTTACCGCCCAGGGCTGTCTAGCCTTAGAGGAATTAGTTTTGTATTACGGATGCTGTGGATGGGGACAGTTCCCCTTAGTGGAGTTAGGAGAAGTCAGACTTGGCCATCCTCAAGCTGCCTATACTCGTTTTACAAGTCACCAGGACACCGCACTGTTAACCCAAGGACTTCACCTCTCTGGAGATTCGAATCCAACAGCAGCTTTGCAGGAGAAACACAGACAGTCTCTTCAGTGCTATTTACAGCCTCAGAAACCCAACGGAGAGTCAGCTCTGAGCCAGTTCTGACTTGACATCAATGTGTTGCTGTCGTAATACCATCTTTTGGGTCAAAGGTCCCATCTGACCTCCCTCTCCCGCCTCAGTCAGGCCCAGCTCTGCCCTCTCAAAATGAGTAAGAGTCGGGACACAAAGGCAAGAGAGTCAAGATCAGAGGTGAAGCTTCTGAGGACCAAGCCTGGCGCCTTTCATACCTCCTTCCTTTTCCTTTTTCTGTTCCCATCAGGAACCAGAGGCTGGAGCACAGGAGCCGAGCTGCCAATTTACCTTGTTCAAAGTCTCCATCACATCTTCTTTTTTATGACTCTTGTAAACTTCTGCCAGCAGAAGCAGGCACTTGACATGATTCATCATGGATGGGAGGTCTTTGGCTGCAAAACAGAAACTCAAGTGTGTATCCTTTGTCCCCTGGGAGGCTGGGAATGGGGTCTGGGCTAGGCTTGGGCCCCCAGATAGTGGCCTGTCTCCTGTGTCCCTTTGCACAGGGATCAAGGAACAGTCAGGCAGCCTGCTACCAGCCCTGGGAGGGAGAGAGCGCAGCCTCACCGAAGTCGTGCTCCAGTGCCTGCTTCAGGACCTTCTCTGCCTTCGTGAACTTCTTTAACTTCAGCAGCAGCTCAGCCAGGTCGCAGCACAGAAAGTCCTGCCCACTGATCTTCTGGGCGGCCTCGTAATAATTAATTGCCTTGGTGCAAACAGGAAGGATGGCCATCAGGTCTGGTGCCCAGTGAACCTTTCTCGTTACAGTTGGGCACCTGACACCATGTCAGCCTCAGCACCTGTGTGCCCCTCCAGAAGGCAGACATCTAAGATGAGAGGCCACCCAGCTGGTTCACTGAGGCCTCATCTGGAGCAGGGGTGGGAGCTGCTGGGCGCTCCCGAGGGCACAGAGCTCAGAAAGGGAGCTGAAGTGGAGCTGGCAGCACTCTCCTGCCACCCAGATCCCCCCACTTCTGCCCCGTCTCTGCCAGCCCAGCCTGACCTTGTTGTACTGGTGGGTCTTCACATAAGCTTGCCCGATCCTGCTGACCAGGGCTGCATCGTGTGGATTCTTTCTGTATGCCTCGTCGTAGACCTCCAGGGCTTTCTCTGGCTGGTGTGGAAAGTGTCGGGAAGTCACTCCTTTCTCCATGGATAAGGGAGATTGAGGCGGGGGGGGGGCACTTGGCAAGGCTCACTCACCTCCTGAATGTTCATGAGAGCGTCACCCAGTAGCAGGCTGGTGTGGGGGCTGGGCAGGTTTTCACAGAGATCGCTGCAAAGGTAACCAACGACTCATCCATGATCCTGCGCTTCCCTTACCTTCTCTAAATCTGTCTCCTTCTCTTCTTTCCCATCTTTTCTCTGTCACTGACCCTAGTTGTCTTTCATCCATCCATCCATCCATCCATCCATCCATCCATCCATCCATCTACTTACCCATCCACTCATCAATCCATTCATCCATCCATCATCCATCCATCTACTTACCCATCCACTCATCAATCCATTCATCCATCATCCATCTATCCATCCATCCATCCACTTACCCATCCACTCATCAATCCATTCATCCATCTATCTATCCATCCATCCATCCATCCATCCATCCATCCATCCATCATCCATCATCCAACCATCCAACATCCATCTATCCATCCATCCATCCATTCATCCATCCTCCATCCATCTACACATCTGTCTGTCCATCACCCATCATCTACCCATCCACCCATCCTCCACTCAGTCCTGACTGAAGGCCCGCTATGTATGTAGCATGGCACTGGGGCACTGGCTGTCCCACTTCAGGCTCTCCTTACCCAGGCTCTGCCTGGAGTCCCCACTGGAGCCTCTTTCCTATCCTCTTACTGCTCCACTTCAGAGCTCTCTCCCTCTAAGGCAGCCACGCTGGTGTGTGTGTGTTTTTTCAGAACTCCAATTTGACCATGCCACCCTATTATTTTTTGGTTCCCATTGATCTCGTGATCGCCTCTCTATCCCCTCACCCCCAAAGGAAATCGCCTAGATGGAGTTTTGTCACCAAAACAGGCAGCCTCAGGGTCCCAAGGTCAATTCCTATGCAGCTCCAGGCCACCGATAGCCACTCCCCATCCTCAGCCTTCCTCCCGCCAGGCTGGTTATAGCTAAGTCTCTGGCCAGTTCCTCGAAGAGAGGTAGAACCAGGGGCCAGGACAGATGTACATTCTCATGGTTCCTTTAGCATGTGCTCTGGGAGCCAGGCCTGCTCTCCCATCAGGGACAACCAGGACTCAACTGGTCCACCTCTGTGCCCCGAGTGGAGGGCTGGGGCAGCTGAGCTATCCATCCCCTGAGAAGGTCTTGCATCTCACACAGTTGGGGGACAGATTTAGGAGACTCCCTGAAATCCCAAGAGAGGAGGCTGGCCCAGGCTGCCCGGAGGCCTTACCGGTAGCACCCGATGTACAGGCGGACGTCCTTGCGGATCTGCAGGTAGATGCTGGCCATCCTCTCCTTGGCCTCCGTGTAGCACGGCTGCTTGGGGCCGATGCTCCTCAACATGCTCAGAGCCAAGTCCACGTTCCCCTTGCTCAGGGTCAGGTCCACATTGGCGATGGTGATGCGGACCTCTTCTGGCGTGCCACTGAACTCATTGATGGCATCCTGCATGACCTTGGTGGCTTCGTGCTAAAAGGAGGGACACCAACCAATTTTCAGTTCACGGTCCCCTGTCACAGGTCTCCAGGCCACCTCTAGGAAACAAAGCGATCCCCCTCTCCACTCCTGTTCTGCGAGAGGACGAGGTATGGGGATAGAGCTGGCCTTGGTAAGCGGCAGGGAGGGGAGCGAGCCCCGGAAAGTCCTTGGCAGCTGGCCATAGTGGGCCGCGAGTAGGCGCTTGCTAGCTCAGGGTTCAACACCAGCTGTTCACTCATCAGAGCAGTTCTGACTTGGGGGAACACGATGCGTGTCCGCTAGACCTCCACCCCGTAGGGTCTTACTTTTAGAAAACATACCCTAAGTGGGGAGCTTTAGTAAGTTCTTTCTCTTTTTCTGTGACCTGAGTGAAAAAATCTACAAATCACACTGACTTTTCATATTATTATTAGTACACATTTTATTTCAAAACAATATTTTGTTTCACAATGTCTGCACATCACATTATTATATATTGTTTTTCCCTACACCCACCTGAGAAAGTATCTATTTATTTAAGGAGTTCTAGTGGCCTGGTGGTGAGTAGGGAGTTGTGCTGTTGACCTAAAGGTCACACTTCTCTGGGGGTTCAAATCTACCAGCAGCTTTTTGGGGGAAAGAGGGGCAAATGCCTCCCATGTAATTTACAGCATTGGAAACCCAACGGCAGGTCAGTATCAAGTCAGTTCCAACTTGTTGTTGTGTATTGCAGAGTCGGAACCAACCCATAGCTGACCAAGTCAGTTCCAACTTGTTGTTGTGTATTGCAGAGTCGGAACCAACCCATAGCTGACCATCCAGTGTGTTTTCAGAGGCAGTTAATCGCATGGAGCAGCTGGTGGATTCGAACCATGTACCTTCGAGATTCCAGTGCAGCTTCTAACCACTAGGCCACCAGAACTCCCTAGTTCTGACTAGACAGCAATGAGAGAGAGAGAGAGAGAGAGATTGATATTATTTCTTTATTAATTTGTACTCCTCTCTCCCTCTCTTCTCATCCTTGGTAACCATCCAAAAATGATTCTCATGTAAACCTTTCTTTAGCTTCTTACATTACTGGATTTTAAGATTTTTTAATCTCTTCATTATTGTTGTACATTTCCCCCTCCTTCCTTCCCTCCCTCAGTGCACTCTGCAATGCATATAATACAAGCCTTATATAATATTTGTTGAGACTGACTTGTATCATTCAGCATACTTTCCTCTAAATGTATCTATGTTATGTGGTGTTTCTCACACTCTCTACTGCTCTTTAATGTTGCATAGTGTTCTTTTACGTCAGTGTATCATCATTTCTTTCATTTGTTGGTGAAGACTGGGTTGTGTTTTCTCTTTGCTATTGTCCATAAAGAAGCAATGGACATAGGTGTACATGGATCTGCTCCTGTTGCTGGTCTTATGTTTTTAGGCTACATATCTAATAGTGAGACTGCTGGATCAAATGGTATTTGCATTTTTACCCTATTAAGGAAGCATCAAGCTGCTTTCCAGAGAGGTTGAACCATTCCACATCCTAGTCAGCTATGTGTGAGACCTATAATCTCTCCATATCCTTGCCAGCACTGTTATTTGTTGACTTCTTGAACTTTGCTATCATTGCTGGGCTGAGATGCTATCTCACTGTTATTTTGATTTGCATCCCTTTAACAGCTACAGGTCTGGAGTATTTCTTCATGTGTTTGTTGACCATCTGAATTACCTTCTTTGACGCAGTGTCTCTTCACGTCCTCTGCCCACTCAGTCATACTGTTTGTCTTTTTCTTGCTGAGGTATTGAAGTCTCCTATAAAGTTTAGAGATGAGCCTCTCGTCATCCATGGGTTTTTCAATAGCTAGTTTTTCAGAAGTCAGTGGTGGATTTGAATCTTCAAACTTTTGGTTCCCAGCTGAGCATATTAAACATCTACACTACTAAGAGACTCTGGGGGGTAATGAAAGGAGTCCCCAGTTATGACAACACACTTGTTCATCGGCATCTCAACCCTTTTCCTGTTACAGTTTTTCCTGTGGGAGGCTTTAGGTTTCTCCTTGTACCATCTCGCTTTGACCAAAGATATTTTAATGTGATGATATTTGATGCACAAACATCTTATTTGTATCATAGTGTCACTACATTTGTACCCTTAATTATGTAAACAATAACTAGAAATGGTTTTTTTGTTTGTTTTTTAAATTTTTATTATATTTCAAATCAACAGGTTGATTCATTTCAGCGTCTTCAGTGCCAAACCTGAGGACAGGGACGGCTTCAGCTTCTCCGCCTTCTCTTTACCTGTGAGGACCAGGGTAGAAAGGTTCCTGCTGTACTGAATCTTAAACTTCACATTATCCTTATTTTACTTGATCTTGACAGATTTGGCTTTCTTTCCCCTGGCCATGAGCAGTAAGCCTTTGATTTGCTCAATTTTGCGAGGCATGGTGGTGAGCGTTGACGGCTGCGGGGTGCGTGTTGGTTCAGCGAGCAGCCAAAAGTGAGGAGGGCAGAAGAGCTAACTGGTAATGGTTTTAATTCTTTAATAAGTTTGGTGCTTTTTGCCTTGAATCCAATCTTCTCAGACACTGATGCCTCAGACTCTGCTTTCCATTTCTCTGGCTTGTCTGGACCATCTTTCCAAGTTTATCCTGATCCTTTTGGCTTCTGGAAGGTGGACTGCAGGAGCTTTGTTGTTTATTTGCTATAATCTGTGAATGTATCATTTAATAGGTACATTAACTTCATTTACAATTTTACTATCAGAGATACCTATGCTTGGACTTTTATGTTGGACTTAGAATTTTACTTTTTCTGTTGCCTGTGGTTTTTGTCATTTCTTCATCTTTTTTTTTTCTTGTGTACTGTTAAATCAGATCCGACTAGCACAGGAGGAGAATGCCCTTCCTTCTCCGGTGGAGAATCTGGTGGATTTGAACCATGTGCCTTTAGGATTGTAGCGTAGCTTCTTGCCACCAGAGCTCCCCTCATTTCTATGTACTGGTACTTGGCCTTGTTTCTTCTTTTTCTTCTCTTTCTCAAAATTCTTGACTAATTTAGTAGAAAGAGCCTTATTTTAATTCTCCTAATAGACATCTTCCATGAAATGCTTTCTGTGAACTTTTCTTTCTCAGTTTGAAATGATTTCTGACTTTGCCTAGACAGTGTTCTTCTGACAACGGCTCAACCTGGTTGAGGGTCTTCCTCTCCTTTGCCGACCCTCCACCCTTCCCAGCATCATGTCCTTCTCCAAGGAATAGCCCCTCTGAGCAACATGTCCAAAAGTATGTGAGGTGAAGCCTCATCATTCTTGCCTCCAAAGAGCCCTCCGGCTGCACCCTCTCCAAGACATGTTTGTTCTCTTGGCTGTTCACGGGACGTTCAGTGCTCTTCTCCAAAGCCACAGTTCAAAGGCATCAATTCTTTTCCTGTCATCCTTATTCACTGTTCAGCTCCCAGAACCCTGGTGGTAGAGTGTGTAAAATGCTTGACCATTAACCTCAAGGTCAGAGATTCAAAGCCACCAGCCCCTTCATGGGAGAGAGATGTGACAGGTCCTTTTAAGATTTCCTTGGAGACCTCTGGGGCAGGTAGACTTTGTCCTGTGCAGTTCTTAAGTCAAGAGAGACTCAGTACTGAGTTTCAGTTTTGTTTTAAAGCAAGCTGCCAAAGTGGACTTTCAGGTTTTTTACCTCTTCATTTCCCCTTTCCCATCTCTCCTCCTGTTTAGGAGGCCAGGAAAGGGAAATCAGAAAAGCCACTTTCAGCAGGGGGTCCTTGTTCAGCAGCCCTGCCCTTCAGTGGGGTATGACTGGCCCCTTCTTTCCCCTCTGGTTTAGCTGCACCCCCAGTTCTCAAAATTCCCATTTCCCTCTCTCTCCGCTCTTTGCCTGGATCTCCTTTATCTCCAGTTCCCATCACAGTACTGGGAATATCGTAAGGTTTCCATAAATAGTAACTGAATAAGTGGCTGAGTAAATCAATGATGAATTCTTGGATGTGCCTGTTCCTGAGTTTCATTACAGATGGCGATTCTTCCTTCACTTTCAATTCTTTCATTGCTTTTGGAAGACTTGAGGGAGGCAAGCATAATAAACAACCTTGTCTATCCCCACCTTTTCCCAGAAGGCAATTTCTAACTTAAGGCAAAAAGGCCTCCTGGTTTGGTTCCCTCTCTACTTAGGCATCATTCTGGGAGAAGAGTGGAGATGGATCACTGAACTTGGCCCTGGAGCTGAGACGTCAGATCCCTTCCCAGTGAGCTGGTGGGGCCAGGGAGCCCTGCCCAGACCTTGCCCTGCCTGTGTGCCTCATGACTCCTCTGCAGCAGCTGGGGCTCCTGGGGCGGCCGACAGACACATGGAGAAATGTGCAAAATCACTGACAGTAAGAGGCAGTACAAATCAGAACCACAGTGAGATGCCATCTCACTCTGGCAGTGGCAAACTTTAACAGGACAGCAGGGAATAAATGTTGGCAAGGACATAGAGGGATTGGAACTCTCTTTTTTAAATTTTTTTTTATTTTATTATTATTTTGTGTGTCTGTGTACCATCAAATCAGATCTGACTGGTACAGGAGGCGCTTGTCCCTCCTTTCCCGGTAGAGCATCTGGTGGATTCGAACCATGCACCTCTGGGATTGCAGTGCAGCTTCCTGCCACTAGGCCACCAGAGCTCCCCAGGGACTGGAACTCTTATACACTCTTGAGGATTGTATGAAATGGTACAATCACTCTGGGAAGGGAGTTTGGTGTTTCCTCAAAAAGCTGAACATAGAAATGCCAGCTGACTCAGCTATTCCACTGCTAGGCATAGACCCCTAGGAAAACAGAATTGAGACATGAACAGAGATACAGCCCAAATGTCCAGCAACAAATAGATGGATTGAGAAATTGTGGTCCATTCACATAATGGAATACTATGCAGCACTCAGGAGCAATGATTAAAAAAAATACTGTATAACATGGGAGAGGCTAGAGAGCATTGTTATTGTCATCTTCAAGTCGAGCACAACTCATAGCAACCCTATGAACAAAAGGCTTGAAGCCCCTCTACCAACTATCAACATTTTTCAAAGTTCATAGAGTTTCCAGAGGCATGTTATTTAGGACGTGGATGCCACTCCTGCTTCCAAATAGAGCAAATTATGCTGAGTGAAGTAACTCAGTCTCAGGAGGACAAATACTGCATAAGACCATTACTGTTAAAAACAGAAGGACAGCTAGTAAGACGTGGATAAAAGTACCAAAGGGATAAAGGGAGGTGGCAGGAGGGCAGAAAGGGGATGAGGCAGGGAAATCACAGGATCACAGGGAGAGGGTAAAAGATAAGGATAAACCTAGTGGAGACCTTGACCTGGAGCTGCACTGTCAAATCCCTTCCCAGTGAGCTGGTGAGGCCAGCAAGCCCCTCCCAGACCTTGCCCTGTCTGTGCTCCTCATGAAAGGAAACGATGATAGTGGGCATAGATCAATGGTAATTAATGTTATAAAACACAGTGCATTCAGGGAGCTCTGGTGGTCTATGGTAAGAAGCTGTGCTGCAGTCCCAAAGGTGTGCAGTTCAAATCCACCAGAAGCTCTGCTAGAGAAGGAGGGGCAATCTCCTCCTGGACCAGTCAGATCTGATTCGATGGTACACACATACACGCACAAAATTTAAAAAAAATAAGAAAAAAAAATCCAAAATACTCACAGTGTATGGGAAATGAGCATATGAAACACAATGTGAATGAAGGAATGTGTGCAACACGATGTACATGAATGAAACACAATGTGTATGAATTTTGGATGCAAACAAATATATATGAATGGGTATTCTTGTCATTACAGAAGTTCAGAGTGAAGGCTGCACAGTGGAGTGGACTTGGAGGGGAGGGATTGCTTAACAATGAAAGAGTTCTTTCTTTTCAAGGAGAAGAGTGAATTAGGGGGGAGAGGGTGGACTGGGAGAAAAGTGCAACAATGAATGACTGGAAACCCTAAATCTCTGTAAACTTTCATTAAAATTAATTAAAAAAATTCATTTCTGAATCTTAAAAAAAATTAATACTGTTTTTTAAAAAAAGGTGCTCTCTAGGCCTTCTGGTCACGGCCGTGCAAGGCTCCCAGGGTTGCCTCCTACATACGGCTGGGCAGGTTGTATACTGCACAACTCTAAGAAAGCGTACCTGTAAAGACTGTGTTGGGACTGGCAGCCCCTAGAGCTCGCACGACCAAGGGGCCCAACCAGTGGTGGTGGCATTGCTGGGCCTGTGTGCTCCCCTCCCTGAGATCCTCAGGGGCTCAGGGAGGTAAGCATGGGCATGCAGAGGCCCTGAGGATCTGGACTTGACCCTGAGGGATGTGGGAGTTACATGAGCCTTTCAGACAAAGGGGAGACACGTTCACAAGTGGAAAGACCTCTGAGCGGCACAAGCAAGCATTCTGCAGCAGCTCAGTGCTGGTTCCCACCCGAGACACTGACCTTGGAGAGGGGGAAGCCGATCCCCCACCCCCGTCCCAGAGGAGGGGAGCGTGCTGCCCTTACCAGCTCCCCGTTCAGCCGCAGGGCCTCCACCAGCTCCAGCAGGATGGACACCCGCTCGCTGGGCTGCAGGGAGGGCCCTCGGAGCTTCCTGCCTTCTTCCTCTGCTCTCCGAGGCGGCAACTTCATGATCACTTTCAGCGTCTTTATGGCCTCTGTGTAGTCCCCGGACTTGTTGAGGGCCCTGGCCTTGATGAAGTGGTAGAGGGGGTGGTCTCGGACCTGGAGGCACAAAGTAGAGTCGGGGGAGGGGGTGTCGGTGTGGGTGACCACCGAGATTGCTGCGGCTCTCAGTGCCCAGAGCGAGAGGGCCCAGGAGCCCACGAGCCTGGCCCTGCCTCTGGCCGGCCTGAGGGACGCAGGTGGGCCCTCCTCACTTCTAGATGCCGAGGAGGCGGACAGGCACAGAGGGCCCTACCTGGAAGTTGTGGCTGACGGCCAGCTCTAGGCACTGGGAGCACATGGCAAAGTTGCCTTGAGCCAAGTAGACCTGGGCCATGAGCAGGTGGGTGTCCACAGAGGTGGGGTCCAGCTCCATGCAGCGCTGTAGCATGATCTGGGCATTTTCCAGCTCCCCTAGAAATAAAGGACAAAGGCTCTGTGTCCAGGGGTCCGTGGAGACCCAATGGGAAAAAGGCAGAAAGACCTGCATGGGACCTGTTCCCCCGAAACACGCAGCTAGGCGTTCGACTCAGGTCTGTCCTGCTGCCTTAAGACATCCCTCCCTAATGTCAAAAATTCTGTCCTGACCCGGACAAAATTTAGGATAACTCAAACATTCGTTCTTTCTCTGTACATACAAAGTCGCCTCAGTGCTCCATCTGGAAGCTTCAGGGAAATGTTGTTACGTGCCATCGAGTTGCCTGCAACTCATAATGACCCTATGTACAAGAACCCTAAACGCCATTCTATCCTGTGCCAACCTCGCCATCTCAAACACACTGATGGGACTCATTCCCATCAGTCCATGCACAGAATCGATCCATCTCATCGAAGGTCTAACTAAGTATTAATTCCCAACCCAAACAGCCAAACAAAACCTCGTAACAGCATCGATAACGGCCACATGAGCCCTGGTTTCGCAGAGGCTAACGTAACAGGCTGCTGACTGACAGGTCAGCACTTTGACCTCTTTTCCAGCAGTTCTCTGCTGTTGGAATCCATCGGCTGCTCTGTGGGAGAAGGTTGGGCAATCTCTTCCCGTATGACTTACTGCCTCTGAAAACCCAGTGGGGGCTCAGCTAGGGCTCTGTTCCACTCGGCGGCAACAATAACAGCTGCTCTGAGGGAGAAAGATGTGGCTGTCTGTCTGTCCCTGTCCGTTCACAGCCTTGGAAGTTCTATCAGGAGGCAATTCTATTGGGTTCTGTGGCGTCACTGAATCTGGATCAGCTTGACAGTAAAGGGCCTGGTGGTTTCCGCTCTGAGTTTGTACAATGCCCACGATTTGCGAAGCCCCTGCTTTGGGCCTGACATGTGCACAGCACTTCCCAATGTCTGCTGGTAAGCTTGTTTTCTCCTGTAGCGGCTTGTTTTTAATGTAAGATCTCTGGGCCCCACGGATGGTTTGTGCTGGGCTAGTAGTAGCCCAAAGGTTGGTGGTTCAGACTCACCCAGTGGAACGGCACAAGAAAAGCCCAGGGAATTGGTTCCACAAAAAAGTTGGCCCTGGAAGCCCCGTGGAGTCAGCGTCTACTGTCCAACATGCGGGGTCACCCCAAGTCTGAACTGACTTGATGGGCAAAGGGCCTGGGTGTTTTGGTTTTGTTTTCATATTAAGACCCGAGGCTCCTGGCCACAAAGCTTGGAAGAGACAAGCCAGCATTTAACACCCAGATGACCTAGTCTGACTGTGTACCTCTGAGCACTGTCAGGTCGAGGGTCTCCCTGCTCCAGGCTGGTGCCCAAGCGGTGGCCAGGGCAGCCCAAGGGCACCTCCTCTCGTATAGTCCATGCCAGCTTGAGGACAATGGCATGGTCGGTAGGGAGCCCAGGGTCCCAAACACCTCGCTCATTCCCTGTGTGCTGCAGAGAGGTGAAGGGGTCACCATGGCAACCCAGGCAGCTAGAGATCTCGATTTGGCCCCAAATTTGCTGGCAACTGCCCGTATCCCTGGGGAATCCTCCTGCCTCGTACTCAACAGGCCTTGAAGGAGGCCACGGGTAAACCTGGGACCCAGATGAAGACAGGGGGACCAAGGCTCCCTGCGGAGAGCAAGCACCCAGGGGGAGAGTAGTGGAGAATACTCGGGGTGGAGTTTTGCGTCAGGAGAAATTCTGGAACATAACGAAGCAACTGTGCAGGGCTGTCCCCCCACCCTCTCTCTCTGTGATCTGGGCCCTGAGGTGGAACAAGCTAAAAGGTCACCGCTCTGGTGTTGCAGATGCTCCAAAGCCCAGGACAAGCCGAGGCCAGGGGCTTGGCAAGGCTACGCCAGGGGCCAAGGGTGCCCAACGACCAAAAGGCTTCTTCAAACACCCCCTTTTCTGGGGCTGTTCTCCCAGGATGGCCCACAGGAGACTGGCGCGTAAGGGGAGAACGTCCTGCCTCTGTCATGCAGCCTTTCCAGAAAACTAAAAAAACGCTGCCACCCACCCGCCCCCCCCCATTCACATTTCCCTCCACGGTGTCGTCATGATCATCGTGCTCTGGTGCCTTCTTTCTTTTCATTTCTCCCACCACCAGTGGCTGGAGAGTTGAGTCCGAACCACGGTGAGCCCATGTGTGTCAGAGAACTGTCAGCCATGAGTTCTCAGTGGCTGATTTTTCTAGAAGCAAACCACGAGGCCTTTCTTTGAGGGTACCTGAGGATGGACTTGAACCTCCAACCTTTTGACTTGTGGTTGAGTTGGTTCGCCATTTGCACAATCCAGGGGCTTCATGGCCTCTTACTAGAAGCCAGGCTCCATGACAGTGGGGATTTTTGGTCCTTGTGAGGATGACTGTATTCTAGTACTCAGAGCAGAGACTGACACATAAGAGACATTCAGGGACACAACGCAAGTTCAAGGGCACAGATCAAGTAACCAGCAAGAGGCCTGGCTGGGAGAAAGCCCAGTTGGTGGGGCTGCCAGGAAGGCATCTAGGGGGATGGGGCTGGACAGAGAGGACAAACTTAGAGAAGGGTATGTGTGTGTGTGTGTGTGTGTGTGTGTGTGTGTGTGTGTACAGGCATGCATGTGTACACACGCACCCCAGGCAGGGAATAGACCAGAAGCAGAAGCCCCACCACATGAGGGGGGATCCAGGGTCCCACCTGGCCTCAAGACCCCATCAGCTCACCTGAGAGATACTTGACCTGAGCTGCCAGGTAAAGGGGTTCGATCAGAGCTGGAGCTACTTTGACCACAGGGTTCAAGATCACGGCAACTTGTTTGAGCAGTGGCGACACGACCTGGCCTGGCAGCCGGGGCTGTGTGGGAGAGACCCCCCAGAGCACTCAGGGATCCCTTGCGGTGCATAGATTGTCTTTATTCCACATCCCTTCGCTGTCCATCCTGTATCTTCTGGCGTTGGGACACAGCTCCAGAAAATCGGGGCTTCGATTTGTTTACTCTGTGTGCATGTCCCCAGCACCTAGGATGGTGCCCGGCACGTGGTAGGGTGCACAGTGTTTGCCAGATGACTCATTAGAAGGCACAGGGGGTGGTATTAAGATGTGTAAGATACGCTCCTTGCCCACAAGGAATCCTGACTGGCTGGGAAAGCCAGACTGACAAGTAAAGGCTAGCATACTTCTTAGGAGGCTTCTAGGAAAAGGGAAGCCAAGTTCTGCTGTGGGATAAAGGCAGGGGCCTGGGTTAGAGCACTGCTCCCCCAGGTGTGGGGGTCTAGAGCAGCAGCAGCAGAAGCTGGGAGCTCTTAGAAACACAAGGATTCAGGTCCAGCTCGCTGTGCCACAGTCACACGGCCTCATCACCTCCCAGGAGGTCATGTGCTGGATGCCCAGGTGTGAGCAGTACTGGGTTCAGCAGTACTGAGGCTCAAACCAACCTGCTGGCCGGCCAGGTGCGTGCTCCACCTCTTCCTTTCAGGGGGACGTGCACTGGAGCCTGAACTTCAGCCCCCCACCCCCTACCCCCTCGCCCTGAAGGTGAGCCTGCCCTCACCTGCTTGGGGCAGAACAAGAGGTATTCCTTGGCGATGCACACCAGGAACAGGGGGTTGAGGCGTTCAAAGTACTCAGGGCTCAGGGCCAGGCCCTGCATGTTGGAGAAATGCAGCTCCGCTGCCTCCTTCAGCAGCGCTATGGACTCCTGCTCCGGCCGGCGCTTCTTGGTGGTCAGGAGGGCCTCGAGGAAAAGCAGCACCTATGGGGGGACGTCCAAGCCTGGGGCCAATGCCAGCCTGGGCGGTACGAAGTGGGGAGGGGGCGTCTGAGGTCCTGCCCCACCCAGTCAGTGGTGGTGGTACATTAGAAACTGGGAGGAGGAGGAGGATGGGGCCCAGACCTCGGACTTCCCCAGGGATTGCTGCACTTCCTTCAGGAATTCCAGCAGGCTCTCCGCCTCCTCCAGGTGGCCTTCTAAGAGCTGGCACCAGATGACCCCTGGGAACAGGACCAAGAGAACATGCACGAGCAGCCAACTCCAGGCACAGCCCGGCACCAGGCTGAGGAGACTGGACGGGAGCCGGGAGGCAGGGCCCCAGGGCAGGGTCTCTGAGTCTTCCCAGCGTCTTCAGAAAGGGACTCACGCTTACCGAGCAGAGTTCACACATCCCCAAAGGGCATCTCCCTAGACGGCCTGAACGGACCGAGTCTTAAACCTTTCAAGCCTCTAAGCATTTATGTCTGTAACAGAAGCCCCAAGGAGCCCAGGTGGGGCAACAGAGAAACACTGGGCTCCTAACCAAAAGGTCAGCGGCTCAAACCCACCAGCAGGGAGAAAAGACCTGGCAATCCATTCCCATAAAGGCTGGTGTTCTGTGCCATCAAGTCAAAACCGTCTCATCTCAGCAGATTTAAAGACACACGCATGCATACGTACACACATGCACGCGCACACACACGTACACACACAGAACTATGCTCCATGGAGTTTTTGTTTGTTTTCTTTTTTTCTTATTTTTAAATTTTTTTTTGAAAAACATATTGGGGGGTACAAGGAGGCGAGGGTTGGGGGCAGAAGGGTGAGGATGGGCAGGGATGCAGTTGCAGAGCTGCAGAAATTGGTTGGTGGGGGGAGCAGGTGAAGGAAATGAAAAGGATCCAGTGGGGACCAGATTGTTTATTTGTTTTCTAATTATTTTATGCGTTGAGGACTCTCTTTCATAGGGTCGCTATGAGTCGTCTGTGACTCGACGGCACTTAACAACAACAACAACAACAACAACAACAACAACTATTTTATATTGATTTGGAGTTGGAGAAGAGCACTGGACATCCCATGGACAGCCAAGAGAATGAACAGATATGTCTTGGAGAGGGTGCAGCCGGAGTGCTCTTTGGAGGTAAGAAGGATGAGTCATGCCTCACACACTTTGGGCCTTCCTTGGAGAGGACATGATGTTGGGAAGGGCGGGCAAAGGAGAGGAAACCCCTCGACCAGGTGGACTGACGTGGTAATGGCCACAACGGGCTCTTGTGTGTGAAGTTGGTGCAGGATAGAGCAGGGTTCAGGTCTTTTGTTCACAGGGTCCCTATGAGTCACACTCGATGACACATAACAACAACAACAACATGGCTTTTTTTTTTTTTACTTTGCAATCATGTTTTTCATTTTCAACAAGCCTCCCTTTTTTCATGCTTCAAGCATGTTCTTAACTTATGACATGGGCTCAGCAGACACAGAAGGAATTTTTAGGAGGGAAAAAGTATGGTCTACACTCTGTCTTAACTTTGCTCCTTTTAGGACCACTGGTCCGTGGCCCATCTGTCCCTCTTCTGTGACCAGCAGATTTATCAACACAGGGCTAGACTGAGGAACATTCGCAGCTGAAGTGGAGTTCCCCAGAAATTGTTACGGTCACTCTTTGATTTTCTTAAAGCTGGATTAGACGGTGACTTGGCCAGGGCTGGGGTGTGTGGGACCGAGGCTCTGAGCAGTGGACTTCCCTTCTGGCTGACCAGCTGGGGCCCCCCCTTGGATGAGGAAGTTGGGGAGGCCTTACCCTGGTGGAGAACTATTTGAGGGGGTTTTGCCCGTGTGCTGAGCAGTTCAGCCTTTTGGCCTTGACGTTTCTAAGGGTGGTAGCAAGTTCTGTGGTTTCGGCTTTGTTCCCAACTGTCCCCCAGACCCAGAAGTCCCCTTGATTCTGTGGTCTTGGCACAGTTCCAGTCATTCTCCTACTGGCTTACCAATATAGCCTGTTAGTGGGTGAGCTGTGCCCCCCAGAAAGTTAAGCTGAAATCCTAACCTCCAGTGCTTGTGAATAAGGCCTTGTTTGGAATTAGTGGCTGAAGATGTTATCGTTTAAATTAACACGAGGTCAGGCTAGAAGCGGCTGGGTCTAATCCAGTCCCAGTGGCGTCCCTATAAAAGAGGAGGAGACAGGGACAGACGGAAAGGGGACGGCCTCGCGGAGACCGAGGCAGAGGCTAGAGTGCTGCATCCATGAGCCAAGGAGCCTCCGGGATGGCCAGATGACCGGTCCTCCTCGGATGCCAGGAGACGCCTGTCACAGCTTCTCCCTCAGAAGGGATTAGCACAGCGGACACTCTGGCTTCAGACTGAGGCAATAAATTTCTCTTCTCTAAAGCCGCTCAGTTAGTGGTCCTTTGTTTCAGTAGCCATGGGAAACTACAATACAGCCCATGGCATGCCCCATCCTCTGCTGACCCTGAACTTGGGTAACTTGGAGGGCTGTTCCTCCCTCCCCCCAGGGCTCTTTGGAGAAAAACTGGATTATTTGTTTCTTGTGCTGATCCATCTCTACTTGTTTTGGTTTTATCTGATTTTTTTTTAACCTACTTGGCGTTTCCATATGTTTGATGAATGTCTCCACAGGTTCTGGTCCACTGTGGGGACATTTCCCTGCGCTCTACTGGGCAGCTTACCCTTTAAGAAGACTTCTTATTTTCATGGGACATGGGGATGGAGGGAGAGGCACAGATCTGAATTAATGATTCAAGCCAGAATGAACGATTCTGATATCTGTGCTTTATGGATGAGAAGCCTGGGGTTTAGAGATGAGACGTGACCTGTCCACAGCTCCGTGGAGCAGCGTAGAAACCCAGCCTGCCTCGAGCATGGGGCCACTTTCTCACCCCAAGCACAGCACCGTCTAACCCCAAACAAAACACTACTTGCCCAGAAGTCAGAAACCACCGAGTCTTTTTTTTTAAAGTGTAAAAAACAAATAGGGTTCTTGTATATTCACTTGACATTTATAGAAAGGATTTTTTTTCCCTTAAAAAGTATTTAGACAAGGAAGTAAAACCCCCAGGGAGATCTGTTCAGTTTTTCAGCTCTGAGCCCAGAGGTGAGAACAAGGGAAGGAGGGCGATGCTGAGTCCGGCTGTTTCCAACCATAGCCGTTAGGGGCTGGAGTGGAGGTGGGCTCACTGGGCTTCAGAGATAAGCTGTCTGACCTCCGGGGGTCAGCGGACAACAGTGATGTGGTCTGGATCTCTACAAGCGGGGATTTGACCACACTTCCCAAAATTCTCACACGCTTCCCTTCTACAGCGATGGATTCACAGGAAGGCATCCCATTGCTGATGTATCCCCCGGGCTCACACAGCTCTCAAGGGACACGTCTCAGCGTCCTCTTTGGGATCCACAGAGGCTGCCCTGCGAGTCCACCATCACGTACCTCCCGCGGCGCCCCCAGCCCACCTCCTACCCCTGCAGACACCTGTCAAGGCAGCTACGCTGTTCTCGTCCAGCTTCATGGCCTCAGTGTACCACCGCGTTGCTTCCTTTATTTGCTCCCGTAGGATGAAGAGAGAGCCCAGCTCTATGGCCACGTGAGTGTGGGGGTACACGGCCACGGAGGCCTGCTCAATGAAGCTACACACCAGCTTTAAGATTGCCTGATGTCTTCCACACTGCAAGGAACAAACACAGGAGAAGAGGGAGACCAGTCATTCTAGGTTGAATAAAGCCACATCAGACAGGAGGGGCAACTCTGACAGGGTCAGGAGAGCCCCAGTGGTGCCTGTATCCGACAGTGGACCTGTCCAGCTGTCCAACTCCCAAAGAACCTCCCACTGTCACAGTGGTGGAGCCTCCCTCCAGCCACAGGCCCACCCCCGCTGGACCCTCTGACATTAGTGTCTTTCTATAAGTCTTTGGTCCAAGAAGTTGTCACAAGCTTTTTAAAACATTGAAGCTGTGCACACCCATGTTTATCGTGGCTTTGTTCATGATACCAAGGAGTTGGAAACAACCTAAGTGCCCATCAACAAACGAATGGATAGAGAAACTGTGGTAGATTCACACAATGGAATACTATGCAACATTGAAAAACAAGGAACTCATGAAATATTATACAAAATGCTGAGTGAGGTATCTCAGTCACAAAAGGACAAATACTGCATGGTGCCACTGTTGTAAAACAGGACTGACATCCGGGTTGAGGGGAGACTGAGAAAGATGAGTTCAATAATGTATACTGCACTGAAACAGATGAGGGAGAAAACTGTTTAAAAGGGATATGTGATTAGGTATTATTGTCCTGACAGGATTCCAGAGCGAAGGCTGCATAGTGGAGTGGACGTGGGGGGAGGGATTGTAAAACAACAGGGGAAATTTTCTTTTACTTTTCAAAGAGAAGAGTGTACTGAGGGGGGAGGGATGGGCAGGGAGAAAAGTGCAGCAATGAGTGAATGGAAATCCAAAGTCTCTGTAAATTTTCATTAAAATTAATTAAAAAAAGGATAAAAAACCCCAACCCTCGAAAAAACACTGAAGCTGGGTGGGAGAAGCCCCTTGTTGATCTGAAAGCCACCAGCAGTCCTGGTTTTTGCTGTGTATCAAGAAGGAAGAGGAACAATCAGACACTCCGTGGAGAGATGGTATTGCTGTACCATCAGGTACCACCGTTTTGGTGTCTGTGGCCCCAGAGCTGCCCTTGCTCTTAAAACAACCCCTTCCAGGAAATTGGACTGTGGGGCTGAAGGGTCTGATGGAAGAAAACACGAGGTTCTTTGGAAATCTGATTTATCTGAAACTTGACTGATGTCAGAGGCCGGGGTAGGCTGGTCTCCCCAGTGACTTCTGCAGAGATAATGTGAGAGCCTGGTCCCTAAGCAAACTTGTGGCTACAACTGGACGTGGATCTAAATAATGTGTCCTCCCCAAAAAGGCTTTCAGGCCTCACCACCCCAACACCAGATCTAGGTGGGGACCTGGGCAAAGCGGTCGAGATCAGAGTCAGGACTGGAGAGAGGGAAGGGCTGTGGGGCTGAGCTGTGAGGGTGCCAAGGGAGTGGAGAAGTTCAGGGTGCTGGGAGCTTTCCGGGGCGGGGGGGAGGACAGAAGTCTCCCCACAGGGACACAAGAAAAAAGCACCATCTCAGACACTCGGAAAGAACCTTACCAGCTTGCCAATCACGAGAATTTTTTTGAGGTAGAGGTCTGGGTTTTGGGGTTCACTCGTCTCTAGGGCTTCAATCAGTTTTTGAACGTGCTGGAAAGCCTGTGGGGACAAGATGGACAGTGTCAAGAGTGACACACAGCACCGGGGCAGTGCGTGGTGCTCAGGCCGGGCCCCACATCGGCGTCAGCTGGGAGGTGCTGTAAGTAGCCCAGGCCTTGGCCCCAGAGACTCGGCTTTAACTGGACCGGGGTGAAGGCCTGGTGGCACAGCTGTTAAAGCTGCTCCTCTGGGAGACGGATGAGAGGTCATCTGCATCTCATTGCCATAGAGACGGAACCGACTCACAGTTGACCTACTCTTGGGTTTCAGAGGCTATAAACTGCATAGGTGGGGAGAGTGTTCAATATTCGCTCCTGGAGCTGCTGGTGGACTCGAACCACCAGCGATGCTCTCAGCCTTTGGATTTGCAGGCCTACAACCTCCAGGCTGGGCCATCAGAGCTCCCTCCCTGTAGAGAGTACAGGGGACGCTACGGGACAGGTCTCCTCTCTACCACGTGGTTACTTTAGTCACAATCAACTCAATGGCAACAGGCTTAACGGGGGAAGATTCTCTGCAGCCCTGTAAGTAGATCATTGTTGTTGTTGCGTGCCATCAAGTTAACTACAACTTACAACGATCCTATGAACAACAGATCGCCACCTTGCCGTATCTGATGCCATACTTATCTCTGACATCTTCCTAAGTCCTGTACCGCTGAGTCAGAACCGACCCATAGCTGACCCTCCTGTGGGTTTTCGGAGGCGATTAATCACACGGGAGGCTACTGCCCATCTTTCTCCAGCAGAGCAGATGGTGGATTTGAAGCGCGTGCCGCCAGGCAGCGGTATTATTTCAAATCACCCAAGGCAGAACTTTCAGGAACGTCATTCAGCCAAGTGTTGGCACCGCTCCTTTGTTCCGAGCTTAGAAGGGGAGCTTCGGGGCGCTCTGGTGGCCTAGTGCCAAGAAGCTGCACTGCAATCTCTGAGGTCCATGGTTCGAATCCACCAGATGCGCTGCCGGGAAAGGAGGGACAAGCTCCTCCTGTACCAGTCAGATCTGATTTGACGGTACACAGACACACAAAAATAATAACAAAAATTAAAAAAAAAAAAGCTCTAGTTAAAAAAAAAGAGAGAGAGAGCGCTTGGCATATTAAAAAAAAAAAAAAAAGAAGGGGAGCTTCACCTTCAGCTCTTCCCAGTGGAGCCAGGAGCCAACCGCCTCCGCCCAGACCACAGCCCACCAGGCTGGGCTGGCCCTGGCCCAGAGGCCTCTGCTCCATTTTGACATGGAGTCCCCACCTTGGTGCTTCCCTATCATTCCCTTGACTCCTCCTGACCGCCCTGGAAGTTGGTGTAAATTCCAGCACTTTCCAGTCGAGGAGGAGATGAAAGGTCAGAAAGGCAGGTGGATTCCCTGACGAGGAAGCCTGTATTTCCCCCTTGACCATTCTGCCCACTGTCCTCTGACAGCCCTACCTCGGGAGTTCTCCTTTCTAGAACCCAGATGGGGTGGTCAGCTTCCCTCAGAATGAGACAGCAGGATCGGAGCTGGCGGGCTGCGCTGGGCAGGGGTGCAGTTTGGGGAGGGGTGATGGAGGGATGTCCTGGGACTGAACTCCGCCCGGGCCCCAGAAAGCTCTGGGGACTGATGAACCTGAGGACAGCCCTCCTCTGACCCCACTCAGAGCCAGTGTTGGGTCATTTTTAAGGGTTTATTCCAAAGATGGACTCTCTCCTCCACCCCATTCCACCCTGATTCTGAACACAAACCCCTCAATCGCAGGGCTGAACAGGAGCTAGAAGCTTCCTTCTACAGACCGACTCCTCAGAGACTCACCGGAATTTCCACGAAGCCAGATGCTGTTCTCTATCATCTGTCCGAAAGGCACACCTCCCTTAATAATCTGCCTCTCTTATTTGAAAAAAACAAAAACAAGGGAGCTCTGGTGGCCTCGTGGCAAGAAGCTGCACTGCAATCCCAGAGGTACGCGGTTTGAATCCACCAGATGCTTTGCTGGAGACATAGGGGCAATCACCTCCTGTACCAGTCAGATCCAATTTGATGGTACACACACACAAAATAATAAGCTGTTTTTTTTTTTTTTTTAAAAAATCAAACCCAAAAGGAGCTTATCTTTTATGTTTTCCTTAAGTGTTTAGGGAATCTTGTTTGTTTGGTTTTTTTAAACTGCATTTGATGTTCCCTGGGAAGACAAAGTTTTAGGAGCAAGTTTGGTGCCTCGACGATGCCTGAAGCCTTCTAACCACCCCCTCACCCCTGAAACACTACCACGACCTCTACCATCAGTTAATGTTGTGCGAGGCACTCTTTCCAACTTCACTATTTATTTAACTTAGTTCTTAAATGCAGCTCCCAACGTGGTGGAATTATCTCTCCATTTTACAAATGAGGACCTGAGGACCCGGAGGCTTATCCAGGAAGAAGTGGCTGGGTGGCAAGTGGCAGAGCCAGAACCGGTGGGAAGTCCAGAGCAGAGGAGGGAGCAGGGAGGCCAGGTCAAGCACAGATAGAGCTGTAAGGCCTTGGAGGTGGGGGGACGATGTGCTCCTTCTTAACTCTGCTTCAAGGCCCAACTTCCAGGTCTTAAGAGAACTTACTCTGCTGGGGTTCCCCTCTCTCACGAGCTCATGCAAGGCCAGGGCTTGGCAGGCATCAATGTTGTTTGTGTCTTTTTGGAGGATTCTGAAACAGGAAGAGGAGACATATGAACAAAGGGTACTGACAGGGTCTCCATCTCTCTGCTTTTTTCTTTCTTTTTCCCCCACAATTATTAAGTTTATTAATATTTTTTATATATTTATCTATACTTTAAATTTAATGAACGTTTACAGAGACTTTGGATTTCCATTCATTCATTGTTGCATTTTTTTCCCTGCCCACCCCTCCCCACCCAATTCACTCTTCTCTTTGAAAAGTAAAAGAAAAATTCTTCCATTGTTATACAATCCCTCCCCTCAAGTCCACTCCACTATGCAGCCTTCATTCTGAACCCCTGTTGTGATAATAATACCTAATCATATATCGCTTTTAAATAGTTCTCTCCCTTATCTGTTTCAATGCAGTATACATTATTTATCTCCTCTTTCTCAGACTCCCTTCAACCCTGATGTCAGTCCTGTTTTACAACCGTGGCACTATGCGATATTTGTCTTTTTGTGACAGATACTTCACTTAGCATAATGTCCTCCAGGGTCATCCATTTTGCATAATATTTCATGAGTTCCTTGTTTTTCAGTGCAGCATTTTATTCCATCATGTGAATCTACCATAGCTTTTCTATTCATCCATATGTTGATGGTGCTTTTTTCTTTTTTTAAAAAAAGGTTGTTTTGCAATCCCAGAGGTGTGTAGTTCAAATCCAGGCAATCTCTTCCTGTACCAGTCAGATCCGATTTGACGGTACACACACATGCATATAACAATAATAAAGATAAAATAATTTTTTTTACAAGGTGGTTTCATGTGATGGGATAGAATTGCCCTGTAGCATTTTCTAGGCCATAATCTTTACAAGACCCGATCACGAGGGCCCTGAGAGTTGTTGGGTGGATTTGAACCACCTTTTGATTAGCAGCCAAGCACTTAACTGTGGTGCTACTAAGCTCCTTTCTTTTAATAATGTTACTGTTATGTGCCCTCGAGTTGGAGCTGATTCATAGCTGACCCCTTAGTGAGTTTTTATTTTTTTTTTTTCTTAGTGAGTTTTTAGACTGTAAATCATTTGGGAAGAGACTGACCACCTTTCTCTCCTGGAGCAGGTGGTAGATCCGAACTGCCTGTCTTCGAGTCAGCAGGCCAGCTTCTTACCCACTGGGCCACCACAGAGAGCCCTCATTATCACTAGATTTTGCCTGTGATCTCTAGCATGGTTGCCCAGAATAAAGACTACACCTCCCAGCTTAGGGATAGCTGTGTAACTAAGCTCTAGCCAAAAGGATCTACATGAAAGCAATGAGTACAAAATCCAGTTGTGCCTTAAAGTGAAACAACACTTTAAGCCCTCCGTTTGTGCCCCTTCCTTCTCCTTGCAGAGTCCCGCGGCCCTTCAGAGTTAAGCCACCGTCTCAGGCTTGGACTGCCACCCAAACTTTTACCCGAGGCGAGAATAATCATGGGTGTTGTTTCACCTGTTTATGTTGGGGTGTTGGTGCTACAGAAACCCACCTAGCAGAGATATGATTATCACACCATGTTCTGGTGTGGCTGGAGAGATGCTGGGGGCACTCTGCAGGTGCAAGACGGACAGGTAACTTCAGATTCTACATGGGTCCCTGTACAGTAGCCACTGCTGGTGCAGACCACACGGAGGTGTGCTGCCAGCCCACAGGCTGTGCTCTCTGGTGGTTCAAATCCCCCCAGCGGCTCCGAGGAACAAAGACGGGCAATCTTCTCCTGGGTGATTTACAGGCTCTGAGAACCTGCTGGAGGGTCAGCTGAGGGTTGGTTCCAACTTGACAGCAGCGAGTGGAGATTAAAAAAAACCTAAAAAACCACACCAATAAAACCCATACAAATAGGAAAGAAGGGGAAAATTAAGTATTTGCAGAGGAGGGGAGAGAGGGGGAAGGAAAAACATTGGTAGATAGAATAAGACCAAGCAAACACGAGAGAACAAGAGGAACAGCAGTTACTGCAACATTTCCATGCGGGGAGGACTCAATGTGTGGCACCGAACACTGTCGCCCTGCCCGTGGGCACAGCAGGGTGATGGAGGTCACACACACCCAGGGAGTGGCCTTCAGTCAGGTGTTTCCAGGTATTCTGTTGGCACAAGGCTGAGCTTCCCGAGCAATCTCGAGCTGGCTCATGCCAAGGACACTGGACAGGTGCAAACCGGGAGCAAAGCAGCGCAGCCGAGCAGCGCATCGCCACGTTCAGCTTGCTGTCAGCCCCGCACTGTTCAGTTCCGACCCTCAGACTCCAGTTAACAGAGGACTCCACCAGTGTAAGGTGAGGTGGAGGGGCCCTGGGAGAGGTCTGCTTGTGCTTTCCTTTTGAGAACTGTGCTGTAAATGGTCACACACCTCAGCAACAACCTATATTGATGATTTATGGTCATTAAGGGG